TCGCGCATCATCCTTCCAGTGATCCTTCTTCTGTTAGATCCCACTCAAGCTGCTGTTTTCTAAACCCCACAATGCCTGCTGCGGCACACTCCTTTCGCTGTGCGTCCCTTGAGTATTTTCTACTTTAGCTGATGGTAGCAAAGTGACACGACTTGCTCGTGATTTGCTTCAGCTCGGAAAAGAAGAAGACCACCTGGGGCAAGGAATCAAATCCACCCTGCGGCATATGGCAGGAAGTGTTGCATTGCTTTTGCCATTGCACCCCCTTGCCTTGGCTGATCAAGCGACAATCATGAACGGCTCTGACAACGCAGGAAGACGCATGCGTAGTCCATCTACAGTGTGCAAGAACGATACAGGCTCCAGAGCGAGCTTGAAGGAGGTCCGCAGACACAGTCAGCATCGCCATTGCGCAGACCGTGACCTGCTTGAAGTTGAATGCGGCGCCACCAGTGCAAGCTCAACATGCGCTGATTGCTGACCGGTCACCGTACCACTCGGCGACAGCGGAACGACGCCTCGCCCCGGCCAGTCGGTCGGCTAGGCTCAGACCCAAGTCAACTTCGAGGACCGTGGTTGTACGTCCCGGTACAGACTGTCTAAGATCCGGTGACTCCGCGCGGAACGGAATGAAAGCAATGATTGGGTACGGCTGATGATTGTGCCGACGCTTGTCCTCTGCAGGTCATTTCGCCTCTGGTCTACAAAGTATACAGAAACCTAGAGACGACGGTATTTTGCCACAGAGGAGAACGGCGTCATTGCGACATGGAAAAGATGCCGTACCGGAAATTTTGGTTGTCGGGACTCGGCACCTGTCAGAGGTTTTGGCGCAATGGCCTATACGGGCTATATGAGCTTACATCCCACTACTTATTTGCAAGTGACGGAGAGAATTTAGATGGTTGTGAAGAGATTTTGGCCTCGATGTTCCCTACGTTTGAATACGTAATTTGCTGCATAGCTTCTCTCCTATTTCAGTATGAGGTAGCATCGCGCCATTCGCGCGACTCGATCTTTCCACCCGAATATTTTTACCTACAATTCGACGACAAAACTCGGGCAAAATTACGGTAGCAACTTGGTCGGAAGAAGCTGCAACGTTTGCGGATCTTGTTCAGAGTTCTGCGAGCCTGATGAGATACCTGCACGAGCTTGAGGCTGTGTCATGATTACAGCCGTGGTGCTCGGCGCTCCCTCAACGTGAGATATGGTGTAAAGTTTCTGTACATGGTAGTTCGAGTTCCAGGCGCTCTGCCGAAGCGTCGTTGAGGATGTCGTCCTTGGCGGTTGTACGGGCTTTGCAGTCAAAGGACCTTGAGCTGGACAGGTGAGAGCATCTGAAAGGGATGGTACAACCTTCCATCAACCTAATCTGCCAGCTTCATGTCCGGTATGCGGCATTCACCATGTGCTCCAGTGTGCTTCATCTGTCGCCTTGATTCATATCGCTCTGTGGCCCTGGAGCCTGCCGTTACCATGCTGATGGGATGATGGTGGGAAAGGGGGTGGAGGCTTGGCGACAGCATTAGGTTTTGCGTAGATTGCACATTCAGGAGCACCGTAAATGCCGCAGCTGCTTTTCTTTCCTGGTGAAGGATCACATGGTCACAGGCTGCGGAAGCGGCTTGCGGACTTCAAAGTGGCTTCATCATTTTGCAGGTTGTGCTGTCCAATGCATATAAGACATGTCAACTAAGGTCTTCCTTACTAGAGATTCTCTGCCTGTCTTGCAGGAAAGTTGAGATTGCATGGGGCGCTCGCTGTCTAGTGGAGCAGATCTTCTCTGAGGCCGATGCTCCCTCAGTGGGCCTCATTGGACACGTGCACCTTCTTCGATATCTGTTCCAATGGACGTTGTCCACTCTCACAAGGACGCTAGAGGGCGCAAAACCGTCCAAGCAAGCCACCCAGCCAGGGGGCACTTCTGCAGAGCGTGACAAAACTAGCACAGCAGCAAGTCAGTCAGGCACTAAGAAACAGAAGTCAACGGTGCACGTGGTGGATGTGTCGCAGATTGTGAAATCTAGCGCACAAGCAACTCTGGGCGAGGGGGCGTCACATGTCTTAGATTTGAGACTTTGGGAAGTCTTGAGAGCCTGCCTTCTGTCTGGAAAGTTGGGGAGTGATGCCCCAATCAATGCAGCCCTCCTCCAGGTGGGTGCGATCTTGCAGCAAGGAGTGCTCCTGAAGATGCATATGCATGGATTTTTTCTTCCATTGAGAGTTGGTTCCTGTGTCGGGGTAGCCGCAGAGCGGCTTAATTACGAAACAAGGTGGTGATCTTAACGGAGGTTCAAACAGGGTGGTGCGGAGCCTTGCCACTGAGAACATGGAAACATTTCCCTTGTTGCATCCTGTTCTCTAGTACGACGGAGTGGGGGCCTATGGGCTTGCCCCACAATTACCATCTGTGTGTAATCATAGGCCTTTCCACGTGCAGGCGGTTTCTGCTGTTCTTTCCCTCAAAGGGCCTGAATACAGTGCCCCGCGAGAGGTGCAGGCTGCAGCAGATCTTGACGTGGTTATCAGCGCCATCCTGACAGTCCTTTCCACCAGATTCGCGAGGTCCTTCCGACCAAGGTGCGCAAGCAGACACGCCTTGGCTGTGAAGGCTTGTAAGGCACGACTCGATTGCATACACCCCCTGTAGCATAGGTTCAATGGGATCGGATGCGTTTGTCAGCAAGCCCCCTGACATTTACATCCGAGCAAGTACTCGACAGGCCATGCATCACGAGATAGTTTTCTTTCGATGATTTGCACTTCCAAACCTTCGACTCTGAAGGTGCACGTCTGCTCATTGTCTTCTCCAGGCAAGCATTTCGATTGCCTAGAGTGACCAGATGCACCTTTGAACAATCCCTTGAAGGTTCAATCAAACTTCTGATCAGGCCTGGTTGTTCCTTGAACACTCAATTTGTGTAAATAAGCCACTCAACTTAGGTTAACTAATCGATCTACACGTAAGACGGATTCAGGAAGTGTCAAGTGTGTCATGGGCAAACTCGTCACGTTGTTCTGCAGCTTGGAGCAGTGGGCTGCCGCCACAGAAGTGGCTCTCAAGCATCCCCTGCTTTCTTGCACAAGCAGCCCCATCCTTGGCTCACCCCCTGGGGGCCAGACAATCCTTCTGATTCTCCACGGTCTAAACGCTGCCTGTCGGGCGCACGCCAATCCCAGAAAGGTCTTCACACTCCAGGTCGACAGGCTGTTGACGCCGGTGTTGACAGCGCGCTTCAGTCTCCAGGGAGCCATCTGGGAGAGAATAACCTCTGGTCATGGCCCGTCAACAGAAGCGATCATTCTCGAGAACGGCTCTGGGAAATGGAAGGGCGGCTGGGCGGAGGAAATGCTGCGGGTGCTCGAAAGTATACTGGAAGGGGGGCTGTTTCATGGGGCGCATGTTGCGGGATACTCAGAAGTTTGCCCGTCACTGGAGGACTCACGGCAAACAGACGGAGCCGCAGAGACGGGTGAAGATGCAGACGGAAGGGATGGCGAAGAGGGAGGGAGTCGGAAGAAGAAGCGCAGGACCGCGGAAATGGAGACAGGGGACGAAGGGGCCAAGGCGAAGCTGGCCAGTTACCACCGCCTGCTGTTCCAGGCGCTGGAGGTCGGTGTGAATGAGCGCGACCAGGCGGTGATTGGCAGCCTGGACTGGTTCCTGAGGGCTTATGTGGAAGCAGGCAAGCGGGAGCAGAAGGACGACCCGGGTCGAAATAGCAGGTTGGTTCCTCAATGGTTCGCCTTTAGCACTATTACATGAAGGTCTGCTGTATGTGAACCCTTTTCATTGGAAGAGCGTTTGCGGAAGGGGGAAGGGATTCAATGGTGAGTCTGGCCTGCTGCGATGTCTTGTCGTGAGCCTCGAAATTCCAACCAGGTATTGTGCTTCAGATCTTTTGACCGAGTTTTTTGCCAAGCTGTGCCGTTTTTCGCTGGTCACTGTCATCGGCTCTTTCCCTGAGACCTGCCGACGTTGCACCCGACATCGGCTTCGTTCGTGGCCAGTGCGGAGGAAGGAGCGGGCCTCCTGACTGAAGTTAACCCCGAGGAGGGAGCCCCCCCCAAGACGGCAACATCCGAAGGAGGCAAGAAGAAGCGGGTGCCGGGGAGCGAGGCGACGTTCCGGGTGTTTGCGGAGCTCATGCGGCCCCTCCTGCAGCAACTAGAAGCGGGAGTACGCAACGCAGAGGTGCTGCTGGGAAGCATTCGGGGGTGCCGCCTGTTGCTGGCTGCCGCGAACGAGGTCAGTCTGTGTTTCCTGGCAGAATTGTCATCCTGAAAATTCAATTCGTCCACCCAGGATATTGACTCCTGACGCAGAGCGTTGCAAGTCTTCGTGAGTGTGACGGATGTCATCCTTCAGTCGGCTCTTGGACTCGCTTGGGGATTAAAGGCTCGAGGGAGGATTCAGCTGCAACATGGCTGGCCGTCTATGCGACGGCAAGGGCTCGCCTCTTCCGTTGATTATAATTTCGATCCACGGTTGGTAATTCGCCTTGGCATCTGTCGTCGAATCCTCTTTTTAACGGTATGAATTTGTTAGTGGTGACACCAGCCACCCGAGCAAGCGCACAATTTCGACGTCGAAGGCCGTTGACATGCACGAAGCCCGACACTAAAGCCCCCACCGTGCAGCGTTCGGACCAAAATGTTCGATTCTTAAGCGCTGACTGCGCCGCCCGCGCAGCCCAGACCGGGAAAATCTCGCACCGTTATATGGTCAAATATAGAGACCCAGACTGTACGTTTTATCGTCGAACACAGCCAACCCAAGCAGGTCGAACGGCAGGCCCGCGCCGCGGCGTCGTACAGTGGCCGAAATGCCGATCCCTATGGTTCGTCTCTTCCTAAGAGGAAGAGGCGAGCCAATATCCGCATTCTCCAACCTCTTGGCGTTCTTCAACTCCCAGGCGCCTTCAAACTTTCTACGAAGCGGTTCGCTGAAACACCTTTCGCATCCTTGAGACGATCACGTGCTTTTGCTTAATTCGACTGTTTGCTTTCCAACCTCGGAGAACCTCTTTTTTCCACATTCAAATTGAGGCGAAATGGTACTGACGCCTGCCGCTGCCTGTTTATAGGTGCACGCTTACATCCCAACCGAAGACACTCCCTCTCGAGCGCACTACCGCTTCCTGGACCGCGCCAAAGCTGCGGTTTTCGACATCGCCCATGCACCATCCAGCTCATCCCCGATTGTGCAAGCAGACCCCCTCAGGTTTGCAGCGGCTTCGGCCCCCAGAATCCTACCTGCCCCCCTGGCCGGCCAAATCCTGGGCTTTCTCTTGGTGCTCTTGGAGACGGAGTATCGAGTCTTAGACGGCGACCTGGTGCGGCTGTGGAGCCTGCTTCTCCAAGCTGCGGAGATGGGGGCCGAGCGTCTTTCGGAGGGGGTGCCTGTACCGAACGGACGCTCATCCGAGCTCGTCAACGGGTGGCTGGCCGCAAAAGCCGTCCGACTGGGGAGCCGGCTGCTCGAAGTATACGGTGACCTGCGACAGGTGAGGAACGGGTCTCGTCTTTCTTAGCAGTCCCCTTGAGATACACGTCCGTACTCACATGCCGCTGTTTTGCGGCTTCCTGGGTCACAAAGAGAAGGCCGATCAGTCTCGTCTGGAGCACATGTCGATTTCAAGAATGATAAGGCTTCTTGAAAGCGTTAAGTGTATAAGAGCCGTCCCTTCGTCGTGCTGTCAGCACTGAAGCATTTTGTGGTTCGCTGGCCCTGCATCCTGAAGAACAAGGTTCCCTGTTTGGGGAAGTCTTGCCTTTGCCTCTTCCCTCGCTTTGTAGAATCGTTTGATTTTGTCTAATGCCCTTGAGAGTGTAGACACGGCCCGAAGACAAGCTTGTGGTCGTGGGCCACCCCTCCATTTAGAATTTCCAAGCACTCAGCGTCGTCGTCCGCTTCTTGCGAGTTCCCAGTACCAGGTTAGACGCTCTGCAAGCACCCGGCGTCGAACGTGGTCGGTTGTTGAACTTGGTTGTCCGCTTTCCGAGCCAAGGACTTTTCCCCTGCCACCTGGAAAACAGAGCACGATCCGTCGCTTCCCCCGTGACTGACGCAGCAGTCTTGTACTTTTGCAGGGGGAGCACGTCCTAGCCACCCTTACTGAAGCCCTCTGCGCTTACTCCTCCGGGGGGCCGTCCCTGCTGGTGTGCTCGGCCCCCTTCTTGACGGCCCTCTCCAGGCTGGTGCAGAAGCTGCCCATGGGGCAAGCGGCCCCTGTGCTGAGGATGCTGGCGCGGGACCAGGGGACGCTGCTGGAGGGCCTTGGCTCAGGTGGGCTGCTTGCGGAACTTTTGCAAGGTTGTGCATACGTCTTGGGTTTTGGTTTCTCACGACTTATCTGGTGGAAAGGCTGGGGTCGGCGCCGTCAATTCAGTTCGAAGTTCCCCCCATCAAACTTAACATGCATCACACAAACAAGGCTCGTTTTGCGAGCCTCCTTTCCTTTCTTTATTCCAGGCAGTTCAACGACGAGTTTGGCTAGCAGTGATGCCGTCGTTTAATGCAGAACAGTATGAGAGTCGTCAAGGATGACGAGCACAAGATTGATGCAACCAACACAGACACTCGCAAATGTTTGATTGTGGAAGACATATTTTGTCTTTGGCTAGAATCTGACTTCATCTTCTCAACACAGGGAGTGGGTGCCAGTCTCTTCCGGCCCTGACCGAGCTCCACGTGTCCATCCTGGACAACATCCACGTCACCGAGGGCAACGCCGTCGCCATTGGCTCGGCCGCCCGTCAACTCCTGCATTCTGCGGTGGCCCCGAACCTCGGCCCAAAGCTGCACGCCTGGGCCCAAAGCGGGTCGGAAGCCGCAACAACTGCTGCTATTCTCGGGGACATAGAAATTACTAGCCGGAAGAAAGCGAAACGGGAGAGGTCGAATGGGGTCGAGCCGAACCAGGGGCGAAGGAAGAGTGAGGAGGGGTTCGAGCAACCGGAGGACGCGATGCTGCTTCGACTGTTCCTGTCTGCGTGGAGCCTGCACGAGCATGCGGTCGGTTTGATGCCCCCAGCGGCTGCAACGAAAGCGTCGGCTGCCCTTCTAAGTTTGGAAGCTTCTCGAAACTCTGACCGGGGGGAGACGCTAGCTGACGAGAGTGCCGGCCATCCGAGCAGCGAAGGGGAGCGGAGCATCTTTGCAGCGATTGGGTGCGGTCATGTGCGTTTAGGCACGGTTACAAGGTCACTTGGCGGCAGGTCAGTAGCCCCTTCATTACGGTATGCTCTGGACTGCACAGTCCTGCACGAGCTAGAGAGGTTAAGCCGGGTCGTGAGGCGGTTAGAGGTGGGGTTAGCAGACGCGCGCAGCGGCGAGCTCCTTGGATCCCTCCCCTCAGAGCTCGAGTCTCTGCTCCGGTTCCTTCTCTCGGTCCAGCAGTCAGATCAGGAGAAAAGCCGCGAGGACGTAATTCTAGATCCGCACGCTTCACCTCTAGGGCCCAAGCAGTCAGAGAAGAAGCGTAAAGCCACACCCTCCTCCAGCACGCCAGCAGCAGCCCCGCCATTGAACGGCTCCGAGTCCACCCCCGCCACATCAGACGGCTGGGATGGAGTCGTGTCCAAACTGACGGACCGCAGCTATCCGGCTGCTAAGTGGCGCCTCGTCTGTCAGTCCGTCGACTTGTGGGCTCCGCTGGCGGGCCCTGCTGATTGCACCGCGTTTCTGGAGCGCGTGCTGGAGACGATCGAGAACGGGAGAGGAGAGCCCAGTGCTGGGGTGTCGCAGGCAGAGCCGGAAACGCTTCCGGTTCAGGGAACTGCGGGGCTGGAGAAGAGCAGTCTAGAAAAGCTCATAGCCGGAGAAGTGAGGCAGGAAGTGGCCCTTGCAGAGCCCGTCCGCGTTTGCACAGTGCAAGCCTCGACGCTGGAGCTGTTGCGAGAGGCCGCCTTCTTCGAGCAAGCGGCGTTCCAGGCGCAGCTGCCACACCTCGTGCTGGACGAGCTGTGGGCTTGTGCGTCGGCCGCCACTGCGCAGATCCGCAGCCGGAAACAGGGGCCGGACTCTTGCTCAGCCGAAAAGACGGCACTGACGTCACTAGGTAGCTCTAAACGAGGTCAGCGAAGGGATGAGTGGGGGGGCCGAGAGGTGTTTGGGTCTGCGGCGACGCGGGGCGGTTCGGAAGACGAGCGCGAGGAACTGCCAGCCCTGGAGCGGTGCAACGCGCTGCTGAAATTCCTCAGCAGACTGGGCAGCGGGTTTCTGCTGCCAGGGGACGTGGGGCGATCGCTCGACGTGCTACTGAGGATAGAAAGGTCAGCAGCATCTATCTTCATATCCGAGTGCCGAGGAAAGACGGGGATTTGTTTTTATTGGTGCAACGTCCATCTGTGCTCGTTCGTTCTGCTGCCATGTGCAAGATCAGACCTCAAACTGCTCTGCTTCCAGTGCACTGATCGACCAACATGACTCTTGTCGAATATGTCTTTGTTGAGAGCAATTTGCTTCTCCAAAGCTTGAGGACTTCCTGCAACCCACCTTCCGTACCGACTTGAGCCAATTCCTCTTTGCAGGTGCCTCCTGTCCGTCGCTCAGTCTGCATCTCCAACGCCTTCCGAGCGCCTCGCTCTGCTGGCCTCCATTGCACTGAGCCGCGCCACCTTCGCGCGCATCCTGGCGAGCAACCCGGCGTCGCTTTTCCAGCTGCCCCATCCCAGTGTCTCAAACAGTGGCCCCAGCAAGACAGCGGCCGCTTCGAAGGACCCAGCGGTGCCTTCCCTCACGAACACTTTTGAGAATAGTAAGAAGGGATCGGAGACCCTCGGGATAGGGACGCGGTGGGGCAAGGAAGAAGTTGAGGGGTTTTTGAAAACTGTGGAGGACTGCGCACGGGCTGGTGTGGATGCCTCCAGCTTGTCAGTAGCTTCGGTGATTGTCTCTACGAAGGGAAGTGTTCACACCCTGGCCTCGAGCGCACTGGAAGCGGCGGGTTTCGCACCCCTCCGCATGGGGACGGGGGACTTGGGACCAACGATTGGCCCCGCCCTGGAGCGGGGGACGACTACAAACCAGGTACGAAGCGGGCAGTCTGCAGACCCTGAGCAGCTAGGCAGCGGGTTTTTGGAGTCGGCTTTCGAGGCAGTTTCGCGGCAGACTAAGCAGGCAAATCTGTTCCTGGTTGCGGAGCAGACTGAGGGGGCCTCTCTGAGGCGACGCCCCCGTCCGGAGTCGGGCCCCGCCAGTCTGCTGCCGAGAACCCTGCTGCTCGCAGCCAAGCAGCGGGGAACAAGTCAGGGGACCGCTCAGCAGGCGGCGGACGGAGTGGATGGGAGGGGAGAGAGAGCATCCCTGATAGAAGAAAAACAGCGGGGGGATGACGGGGTGCAGGCAGCAAGCAGAAACGGAAGCGAGGGGCCACAGCGAACGGGGGACCATGCCGTGGGATGGGCCGAGGCTGCGATCGCTGCCGCGGGTGCGGGGGCTCTTTTGAAGGCTGTGGAGGAGGTTATGGAGCAACGGGAGCAGGCGTGTCGAGTCGAGCGGGAGGCGGAAATGACGTGGCACGCGCCGGACGCCACGTGGCAGGCTGCGATCGACCGTTTGGAAAGCGGTGTGGTCGAGTGCCTTTCGAAGCTGATTGGAGGGCAGGACCCAGCGGCAGGAGTGGTGGAGGGCGGACTGGGTGTAACGTTGACGGGCGAGAAAGGAAAGGGCAGACGGGTTCTGCGGGGCAGTCTGGAGGGGCTGGAATATATTTTTGCGGAAGGGAATGATGAGAACGGCCGGGTGAGCGAAGTGGAGGGAGGTCTCAGAAGCCGCACTGTTGCCGGTGGGGATGAAACTTGCCGTGCATTCAGTGACGAGCTCCTTACGGACACTGGAGCAGTGGCAGAATTGAAGCGGATTGTGGTGGGGGAGCTGTTCGCAGCGGTGGGGTCTGTGGTGCGGATCCGCAGCCTCTTAGTGTCCACTCACGTCCGGAAGCTGAGCCCAGGGAACGAAACGACAGCGCAGCTGGGAAGCAGCCCTGCAGAGGGGGCCGAAAAGGGACTGAAAGAGGGGGGAAAGACGTTGGACGTTGTGGAGAGAAAGGGAACGGACAAAGGGTCGAAAAGGAAGAAGCGGAAAGGAGGGGAGACTGATGGGTCTGGTGTTGTCGATGACAGCCCTTCTGAGCATGGGAGGAACGGAGATGAAGCTACTGAGCCGGGAAGTAGGAAAAAGAAACGGAGAGTCTCGCAAGAAGCAGGAGAAGTCGAAGACAGGGAAGTTAACCCGCCCGCAGTACTTGACAGCGCTGTCAGCGGCCCGAGTCCCGCCCTGGCGACCCTCGGGCGTCACCTCGCAGCGGCGAGCGACGTCGTCACTTCGTTCCTCCAGCGCGCGAGTCACGTATCTGCATCGCGTGGAAGCGGGACTCTACAGCGGCCGGAGATCACAGTAGAAAGCGCGCAGATGCTCGCGCACGTAGTCGACTTCCTCGAGGCCGCTGGCGGATGCTTTCCCCTCCTCTACCCCGCACCTCCGATCGCCGCTTTCGACTGGCTCGTCGAAACCCACCTTGCCCTGTTTGGAGTCTCAGCCACATCAACGTCGAGGCTTCCCAGCAGGCCGCAGACTGGCGGGCTGGAAGCCGCGCTTTCTGCCGTCCGATCTAGAGCGGAGGCGTCGTTTGGGACGTTGATCCGGGGAGCGTCCCGGCAGCAGCTCCTGCGCATGTTCCAGGCGGTGGAGAAGGACATGGCCAACGGAGACGGGGGCCCGCGGACCGAGGCCGCCGTGGGGGCGCTGGCAGTAGTGCTGGAGTCTGTGTCAGGTATGGCTTCTCATATCCGAATAGGTGTTCTTAAGTAAGAACTGGGCATTATCGAAATCTCGCTCTGGCTGCAAGATGGTCGAACGAGTGTCAAGTGGTCGTGAAGGCATGTGAAATGCACCTGTGCTTTAATCGTTTTTTCACTGCCTCCTCGACTTTCGTCGTTCGGAGATGTCTGGTTATCTCACTCGAAGAAGGGAAAAAATGGAAAAAAAAATCTGCGTCGATACTTTGTCAAACCAAGCCCAGGTGACAATAAGTTTCAAAAATCGTGCCAGCAGCACGAACAGCACGTCTCTTATTTTATTCACCTCCTTTCACACTCGGTCAACATGATTCATTAAACCTGCTTTCGAAGTAACACTTAGCGGTCTTCTGTATCTGTGCAGGTCCAAAAAGCCTCCGGCTTCTCGCGAGCCACGCCCCCCGCCTGCTTTCCGTCCTCTTCTCCGTGATCGGGTCCGCAGCAGGCCACGGCGAACCGTGGGCGGCTAGGTCAGGAGGCCTGCTGACGTCAGCGCTGCAGGTGCTGACGACCTTCGTGTCAAGAGAGGTTCTTTTCCCGCTGACTGCGGCCCAGGTGGGCCTGGCGCTCAGTGTTCCGGCAACCCTCTTCTCAGCCAGCCAGGCCCTGACTCGTGGCAGCCAAACCCTCCCCTTGCCGACCGCACCAACCTCAGTCCCTTTACCCACGCCCGCACCGCCGTCCAAGAGCAGCTTCGAAGGCACCGCCCAGGTAGCTCCGATAGGTGCCAGCTCAGCGCCTGGCGCTAACGTGGCGGCAGGAGAGTGCGCCACGCTGTGCTCGGCGTCGCGGCTCCTGCAGGCCGTTCTGCGGCACCGGCCAAAGGAGGTGCGGCGGTGCGCGGCGCTCCTGGTGGGCTCGCTTCAGGCCATGCTGCAGGCCATCGCAGCGTGGTCGCAGGATGCCGTGCGGCAGGAGGCTGCCGGGACTGCCTGCGCCGCACTGAGGCGGGTCTACGAGGAGGTGCGCTATCATTGCAAATAGCCTGACTTCAGACAGTGTCAACATCTTTCCTGTGGAAAGATTCACTTGCACTGTGTTTCAGGAGCGGGGCATTCAAAAGACATTTGGGAGGCAACTCTGTCTGCTCATTCTGGAGTTGGAGGGGCGTTCGCATTTGTTGGGCCTTGCCAAAGTCGTTAGCGGAGACGTGCTGACAGACGTATGCAACATTTGTGCTCAAACTTGTCGTCGACGTCAGCTTGCCTTTCACCCTCGTCACACCCCACCAGACCAGGTTGTAGGTAACAACTTGCGTTCTTACTGCCAGGACTCTCATGCAAACTCTGTGGCTGCGTGTTGGTTTTGCGGCTCGTCTCCGGCCCTCAAGAGTGCCCGCAATGAGTTGCTTCCCAATGGCACAAGGCCATTCAAAAGCACGCTGAAGAAGACCGCTGCTTCCGTCTCCAGTACTCAAGAGAACTCTGTCGCCAGCTCGAATCGTGCGTGTTTCGATTTAAAGTCGTTTCGTGGCTGTGCCGCAGGTGGGCAACCACAAGGCGTCGCTGAGCCACTACTGCGTGCACATGCTGGCCGACTACCTCGCCGCGCTCTGCGGCCTGACCGCCTCCAAGGACGCCATCAGCAGGTGCGGGCCGCAGCACTCGTTAGAGAATCGTTCAGTCCATCGCTCTGTTGATCCAAACCTGCGAATGGCGAAGACGCTTGCTTTTCTCAATCAGTCCTGGCTCGCTCCGGAGGCCGTCGCATGTAGATGCGTCAGCTTCTAAAATCGACGTCTTATTTCTTGCACGTGTCGTCTTGTAACTTACCGAGGACGGCTGTTCTCTTTCGTCTTGAGCTCATTGTGGATTCGCTGTGGCAGGGACGCCGCGACGACGCTCCGGTCCGGCATCTTTGCGCTGTTCGACTCGTGCTCGCCGTACGATCTTCAGCAGCTGCACGCCAGCCTGGGGGCAGGTCAGTAGCCAGCTCCGTGCACTGTGCTGTGGAGAGCTGGTCCAACACTTACAATGTCTTGTCATTTTCCGGAGGTGACCGGCCGCCTTAGATGGGGCACTTGAATGAGGGCTCAGTGACAGAAAGGAATGCATCGGAGAAACACAGTTAGTCTTCGTCAAAAGTCGGCTTCTCTTGAAGTCCCAATATCACATTATACTGGGATGGTTGAGTTTGACTAATGCTTCCGCGATTGGAAGAGAGGGCGTGTGCACCGACTTCGAAGTGTCTGTGCCGTGAGACTGACAGCTTGTTGAATATCTTTGCACCTTTGCTGTGCTCACAACTTGAGAGATGCACGAGCGGGTATCAGGTGCCAAAGGTACCATTTGCAAAACCGGGTTAGGTCTTTTTATCGAGTTCGATCATCGTTCATGGTGCAGATGCGACGAGAAGGAACGCGCTGGCGGCTCTTCGCCAAGACTACGAGAAACGTCACAAGTATACGGGCAAGGTTTAAACTGTGACACACCGAGCCAAAACTGGGGTATCATCCTAGCGGGCTGCACGTGTACGCCGCTCCAACTTTTAGTCAGAAGCAGGTTCTAGCTTTTCCTTTGCGGCCGGGGCTGTAAAGATTAATTGTCTGCATTCGTGGCCGCTCGCACAACCAAGCACGCCAAATTTGTGCATGACTAGTTTAGTAGGTTCACTGAAGTCAAACTGGTCCAGCGCCGCCCAAGCCTTGTCGTTGTACTCATGGTGACGGCTTCAATCGGGCCCCGATGTTTTGGCCACAGCTTGCGGTACTTGGACACTCTGTCTCTTAGGATTGACGGTCACAAACTTCCAACTGGCCCATCCACCATCGTCACGGTTGTTATGCGCATGTGGTGATGCAGCTTCAGTGTGGTCTGACAGCCTCTTCCCCGCAACTTGCCATGGTCGATCGCCATGGTAGTGCTTGCAATGGAGCACCGGCTACAGCAGTACTTGTGTGATCGTGGAACTCCGCGCCAGCCCGGCCGCCATATTCTGACAGGGTTGTCAAGTTACTCGCCCATTAAGCGTTGGCGGCATGTGTCGATCACGCGCAGTCAACGCCTCGACATACATACGTGATCTACTAAGTTGTGGTATGCAGGGTCTACTAAAGCATACACAAGCTACCTATGGTGGGTACCGGCCGAGTCGATTCCGACTCCGGCCGCCACAAAATCGATTTAGCGCGTATCGAATATCGTCAGTGTTACCGGCGGTTCGCGTCACGGCTACTCAGGTTTATGTTACTCGGGCGGTACAAATACTCAGAGAATTTTGCCGGGCCGTAAGTAAGTGTGAGGAGATTCTTAAACAGTGTCAGGTTTTACACTTTGAGAGGAGCATCAAATTGGCACGCAAAGAAGAGCCATATGCAGGCTTATAAAAACCTCTGACAAGCAGAAAAAAATGTTGGGAGAGCGTCATGAAGGCTCCTTCGAAGCTCCAACATCTTGTTATGTTGAGGACAAATCGGAAGAAGCACCATCGTGGCTGCAAATTGGCCGCCATTGCTTGCTTCTAAAAAGCGCCATTCCCTACACTCCCGTTTCCATCTTCTGCACTCTCCTTTCAAGTTAGGTACCGCGGTACTCTAGGGTGGTTCGAGTCGGAACTTCCGATCGAAACCATGATTTTCAAATTTCACGTACGGTCAGACTTGATCGGTACCGTACCGCCGGAAACTCCGGAAGTTTCTGACGATCGGAATGTCAGACAGATTCTAATTTATGAACTCGGACCGGATTCTCAAGTACCGGTCTGCACGGTCGTCAGTACCGCGTACAGTAATTGTCGCGACGCGACACACCGGTGATTCAAATTTGTGACCGGATCGTCGCGCGATCGAGACCGCCGATACCCACCATAGGTTGCTTGTGTAATTTGAACATATGCAATCATTGCCTTATGCGGTGGCACCGTCATATGATAGTCATTATAATCCATCGATGGTCCATGCGATCCATCGCAATGGGCGATCACAAAAATTGCACGTTTTCCGCATAGTGCTAGCTCGCACGGCCCGCCGGTCTCGACATCGATATAAACATGGGAACCATATGTACCCTCGATTCTTTGATCTGTATGCAAGCGCTGGCAATCAGCGTGAATTATGCGGTGCATGAGCTGATCCCGATTGAACCTGCCGCCGAGCTGGCGAATCTTCTTTCAACTGCAACTGGCATTGCGTTTGCCGGCCGCGAACAAGTCCAAAAGCTGTGCTACACTACGCCGTCAATTTTGATTTTTATAGGACTTTTTATGTCGGTTTTGACAGGGAGCACTACCGTCGCTCTGGGTAGCTTGCGTCCTTCCATATCCGAATGCTCGAACGAAATCAGCGACGGCGACGCCGTAAAAGTGCGCCTGCTGCCAGTGCGTGAAGAGTCGCTCGCCAAACTGCGAAGTAGTTCCTCCCCAAGAACGTTCCTCAGCTTGCCTCAAATGAATCGTTCCAGTAGTTCAAAGATTTAGCTGTCCAGTATTCGGTCGAAGGAAAGAGGAATTACAGGCGGGGACGTGGCAGCCCCTTGCGCTCGAAAGACGACTGCTTAATAAAAGGCGCGCTAGCTACTTGAACGTGCAGAACAGCTTCAATGTTGTCAGTGTCTGTGTCTTCTAAGGCTTGCTCCGAGCGCTCAAAGGTCAACCCCGTCTCACTCTTCGAAGCAGTTTGCGTATGTGCAAGAGGAGTCGATTGCAGCATCAGCCAGCGCTTTCTTGCCCTTTCCAAGAACTCGGATACTGCAGTCCTGTAATCGTCACGGTGTAGGCGCAAGTGTCCTGTCGAGAAGACGACGTTTCCGTCAAGAGCGCAAACATACTGCGTCTCGTCAACCGCCCTTGACATCTTACTCCTACCTAAATGGGATAAGTCGTCATGCAGCTTGTCTTCACCGCACTAGACCGCAGCACCGATGCATCAATCCTTGCTGATTTGAAACGGTCTCTGAAGGATCTCTGGAGGCTGAACAAGCTAAAATGTACACCAATCTTTTGAACCGTGAAAGCAGTGGCGTGAGCCCTCACCTACGTGGAGGGACTGGGGCCATGTAACCGCTGTTACGTCTGCCCCAACTTTCCGCACGTTTGCGACAAACTCATCGATCCTCTCTGCCGGGGCCAGCGGGTCATCTCGACTGTACAGAAGCAGGAGGGGTTGCAGGACCTGGACACACGTGGCACAGCAACAGTGGGCTTCATGTGACCCCTTGTCAGCATAATTTGGCGCTTAATCTGTTGGAGGACTCACTTGTGTGCACTGCCTTCCACGTTGTCTGAAAGGAGAAGACAGGGGGTGAACACGATCGAAGCTCGACATAGTGTGCTTGGCAACCTGCAGGAATCAAGCGGGAGCACACCCCAAGAATGCAGGGCTGCTCTGAATAGTATCTGATGGGTTCTTTGACCTTACTTGCAACTGCCAATCAATCACGGATTGCGGGGCAATTTTGACAGTGCGGGCAACGATCTGGACTGGCTGATCAATGGTCCACCGCCATCTGATCCTGCTTTCGCGTTTCTCAGCACTGCTACAATTCAGCCCAGTCTGTTTTCGAAAAGCGCAGCTTCCCAACATGCACAGAGCAGAGTTCCAGTGCGTAGTCTTTTGAGCACATGTTCGATTCAGATCGAGGTACTCTGCTGTCACTAGATTGCAAGGCTCGACGATAGTTGCACAAACACTCCAAATACATCTATCCTTCATAAACGACAGGCTCTGATTATGCAAAGAGCGCCTTACCGCTGCCCTTTCCAGTGTCTGCCAAAAGTCCCGCCTGTCGGCCTCAAAGTGTCCTTTGAACAAGCCGTCCAAGACAATTGCAGTGCCTTTCGCAGCTAGAAAGCGAGCCGTGCTTTGTTGACCCCCTGGGGGGTGGCTTAGGAAGCGGACACCTATTTTAGACACAAAATCGATTGGACTGGAATCATAGATCTGGCCAACAATACAGCTTTGCAGGGGGCGGTACTTCTGACAAGCTTCTGGATCCACTTCTGGACACTGGTCGAGCAAGACCTGCAACACAAGATTGGACATGTTGACATACGGTCTTGCCTGAAACTCAACCTACCACAGGGGACGCAGCGTCCATTGCTTCCATGAGAGATTGAGACGATGGCTCCAAGTTTTCTGCGAGAGAGCTTGACAGATTTGATCGACGCTTTGCTTTTGCCAAACCAATTGCTGCTAGATGACGGATAATCACACCGTCAACAACCAGAACGATCAAAAGAAATGCACAACATCTGGAACTGCCCCACTCATCATTGTCGCCAGGGGTACAGCAAGCTATTCAGCTCGCACAAACCTCCACTCACCTGCCAGAGTTTGTACAGACACGCCTTGGCGCCCCCGGAAAATGCAGCGAAAACCAACGGCCTGAGACCACCCTGGGTCCTTTCCAGCAGTGTATCAAGAACTTGGAGAGCAAGACGAAGGGCCCGCCCTGGAAGCCAGCTGGACAGGAGAATGAGCAGCAAAGGCTCAGAAACAGCTGGAATATGGAGAATCAAGCCTGATCATGCAAGGAACAACTGGAGCATTGAAAGGGCTCAGTGAATACTCGATGCAGTGCAGGGCAGCCTGATCAACTCTTTCAGCTGTACTGAGCTTCAAGCTAGAAAATAGCCCTGGCACAGCTTGTCTTATGATTGATCAAGATTCGAAATTCACCACTGAGCTTCACACAGCTGCAGAGTCTGAGTTCAGTTTTCTGATCGTGATGGAGGAAGCAGAAGACGTACAGGTTCAATGTGCCTGGACGCACGGCAAGAGCATCCCAGCCACACTCGTGGTACAGCCGCGTGTAAGTGCTGATGTGCCTCCGCTCACAGCTCATCCAGCCAAAAAGGACCACAATGGGGGCATTCTCCACGACAGCAGCTGAGAGGTCGTTGCCAGTGTCTGAGGTTCTTCCGCCGCTGCTCCAGTACAGGTCATCTGGAGCTCCTGCCCAGCCCATCCTCAAGGGAGCCCACAAGCATGACCGAGCACGCAGGAGTTTCCAACACGGGCGTGCACAATGCACAGGCAAATTGCAGGTTCACTTGCACTTCCAGGTTCAACTTGATGCGAAGTTCAAGGATGTTGACGGTTCCGGGTTGACCCGTCATTGTCAATGATGAAATTTTTAGATTGTACATGGAAATCTGGCAGCATAGACGGCGCAAAGGACGTCACTTTCCGCCGCCGGCGTCCTGGTCTCTCCCAGACTTGAACCTTCACATTGTCGGCCGTCCACGGTCCCGTCGCGGGTTTTAAGTAGGTAGCTGCAAACAATCTACAGGACAGAATGTGTTCATTTTCTATGTTTTCATGTCGAAGGTATGTACACAGACACCAGCTGGAATGTGGTGAACACAGAAAGGTGACGGCATTCCCTCAGCCCACTCAGCTCAGCCTTCCCTGTTGATCACTTTCTTCTAGCCTACTGCTGCTGCCTAGCTCTACCTGTTCTGGTATGTCAGAGATGGCGCATCCTCACTTGTGCCCAGTCATGGGGATGTCGTTCTCCCCGGAGCCTCAGTTCTGTTCTTGTCCTGATACCAATGTTTTGTTGCACTTCAATTCTGGTCCCAAACCCTCGGCTCGAGCTTTCCTTGAGGACACTGCCATTTCAGCAGCAAGCACTGATAGTTGGTGCGAGGTAAGACATCCTTGGTTCCTGTCAGTACGAGCAGCTGCAGCATTGAGTGGGCTGCATTATAAAGCGAGGGCAAAGCACACTGCGGAGGTGCAAGCTGCAAAATGGCGCAGCATTCCATTGTGGAGGGAACGGCTACGAGCTATACATGGCTGCGGAATCGTAGCATCCTCCTTTTGCTGACAGCCACTCTTTGTGTCCTCTGCAATCAACCCAGAACCGTGGAGGGTGCTCCGACTCATGGGTAGGTATCTAGGACCTGCCCGCATTGTAAGAGTTTCGCTAAAATCTGGATGGACAGCACACTCGGTAGAAAGCTTGCATCCTGTGGTCCATGAGAAACTCTGTGGAACTGCCTCTTGTTGCTGGGGTGCATTACATGCTGTCCCGTGCTTGACCGACCACCTCATTCATGCACACAAGAGAAGGCTGCTCACTGCGTGGCTGGTGTTTAATCTAAGTTGATGGTATTCCATCAACTAGTGTAAGATAATCGGTGCTTGGGAAGTGTCCAGAAATGTTTTTGAAAGCGTGGACGAGTAGTGACCTCCAGTGGCAAGCTGCCCATCGTCAGGGGTCAGCATTAGATTGCTGATGTCTCAAGCCTCCGACCATGACAATGGTGGGACTCATGGGAAGGTGGCACTTCTTGCCACTTTCAAGTTGGTTTTGTGTCTCCCAGCCTTTGGGCCACAATCCCCGTGCACTGCAGTCTGAACTCACACCTGGGCCTATGCTTGCAGGCTCAGGGGGTCACCACGTTCTGTCAGTCTCCATCCTGGTGAGGGGCCATTCTTCGCAACTGAAAATCGGCATTGTAGATGCACTTTGTCCTATTGCTGTGCCTGAGAGGAATGGTTCCGTGCCTCTTTTGATTGCTTGACACCAGCTCTGAAGCTGACTCTTGGTCCTTACTTCCGTTACCTCAGGTCGCCGTCTACAGCAGAGCCAAGGGACCGTAGCTTGCCCCAGCGGCCAAGTGGCATGGACCAATTGCGGCGTTGCTTTTGATGCCACCAAGCAAGTGTGCATCAACGGCCGCATCTGTCTCATGTGAGCATCGTTCGTAAATGTTCAAAGCTGACTTACCTACCCACTCACCAGAGTGATCCAAGAAAGAGACAACTTGCATAGCTTTTGAAGAGAGTACCAGACAATGTCAGTCTTCTTCCACCAAAGGCAATACAGTATCTGCGAGACCCCAGGGTGAGGTTTCAGCAGTGATGCCCTAGAAATGTGGCAATGATGCTCTGGAAATGAGACAACAGGTGCTGTGACTGAATTTTTGGATTTCCGATCCTTCTTTCAACCCAGACTTTGGTCAGTACTTTCCTCAAGGTCTTCATGCCTTCGATACTCTTAGCAGCACCAGACACCTTATCAAGTTCCGAAGATTTCCACAGTCTGTTACAACCTTCTCCTCGCCTCATTCATGCATTGCCTGCTTCTTCAGCCCTGCCCCTCAGCTTGCAGCCGCTTGCTTGATGTTGACAACAGGCTCATACTGTAAGTTTTCACTCCTATGTTCTCAAACACCTTGCTCTCATTCAGTGCTGCCGCATGGTTGCTCTGCAGTGGTCAGGAGCTCTGCAGCAATGCGTGCTTCTACCCCACGAAGTCGAGCTGCATTGCTGCTTCACTCGAAAGGGACCACCCAGGCGCTAATGACGGCAGCGAGACTCGCAACTGCACGACAGCTGTCAGCACGAGTTCAGCTGTCAGCGCAAGTACAGCTGTCAATGCCAATCCTGTAACCTTGGGTGCTGCTACCCCTGCATCGCCCACTTACTTTGCCGGTGCAAGTGACAGACACGAGGATGGCGTAGGGAGTTCTCTGCCTTTCATTTTGCCATTGTTTGAACCCCTTGAATGTTCTTAGGGGGTGGATGTGGTCTTGGCCCTGAGGATTTCAGAGAGCAAGACTGGACTTCGTTCTTTGGCTGCTTGCTTCGGCTGCTCGATAAGAGGGTCTTTTGACAACGACGATCTCAAGACGGCTGCCACCGCACCGTATGCTTACCCCTCAGAAGAAAGACAGAACATTGGAAGGATAGAAGAACAAATCGCTTGCGCTAGGGCCAACTCTTATGTTCTTTGGATTACAGGCGCCATCATGATTGCTATCTGGTAGCTGGTTGCACACTCCGACTCTGTCTGGGCAGCCGTACCGCAGCCAGAACTTCTCGTGCCAATTATATTGGGTCCCAACTTCAACATAACCCACCACTTTTCCTTCCGCATGTTACGGAGGAAGACGTTTTTGGCTGTAAACTTTCAAGCGACGCTACTCTTTCCTGCTCTCTTCTTCGAAAGGGCTAGAATGAAGCTAGATGCCGCCCTTGCGCTGCTTGTTTGGTCGCCAGAAAGGAAGGAAGTGAGAGCTAGAACGCAACACCCTTTGCGGACACCATCACGAAACCCAAAAAGTGCACACGAAGATCTTCTTCCAGACCGTCCGATATGCGGACGACGGCTTCGATTCTTCTTCAAAAAGAGAGAAACTTGCACAAAGTAGGACACGGTATATAGGCACGAGCTTGACCACGCTAAAAGAGGGGGCGTCGGTCTATTTGGAAACCCATCCTCTGTCGTCAAACGCTTTCGCCCTACGTTCTTACAACTTCGAGCCGTTTCTCAACCCTCCTTTCCACCATTGGTATCTGCAGAACGTGGCAGCTGTTGTTGGGGGGATTGTTGGTGGGGTCACTCTACTAGGGGCGATAACAATCATTGTCATCATATTTTCCCGACGGCGGAGGAGTGAGGCTAAAGCGACAGAGTTCAAAAAGATGATAAAGGAAACAGCCGTAGCTGAGGCAGCCAATGGACAAGAGCCGCGTGGTTAAATCTGGATTGCAAGATATGTGAGCGAGCCTGAGTATCTGCTGAAAGCAACTCAAGAGAAATCGAAGGAGGTCTCGAGAATCAAAGGCTTGGTGACTTACATAAGGTGCCTAAAGGGTAAGAAGTTGAGCTCTTCAGATGCTGTATCCTTGTCCAAGCGCTTTTCGACCCAGACTGCTGCGGACAAGGGTCTCTTGTCGAGCTGGAAGGCCTGTTACAAATTTTCGAGCCACTCTAGTATCATTATTGCATGGTGAACATGTATAGCATTTGCTTTTTTAACGAAGGGCCGTCTTCATGACTTCAACGACTTGTGATACTGGTTACGAAAGTCACACACTTCGTCAGTGCATGTGCGATTGCAATTGGTACATTGAACGGCCCATACGATTGAGCAGAATGCACGAATGGGTAGGACCGTCGGGCCATTGGGTTACACAATCCTTTGGTTTCAAATTACTATGTACCATAAATGCGTGCTTACGTGACTTAAGGTCGACCATTTAGAGCAGGTTTATGTATATACGTATCTGTCTTTGAGCATGCTATATAGCCCCTCATGCCATCATTCACCAAAAGCTCGGCCATGTTGGTGACTCATGCATAAGCAGCCCTGCCGCCCAGATTTCGTGTATATAGCATCGACCTGCTTGTTGCTATCAAAGTGATATCGAGTTGTAATTAAGCATGGAAAGTCAGAGATGTTCAGTCTTGAGGATGTTGCGCACATGTTCAAAAATATCATGGACGGTCACATGACGGCAGCACATGCATGTTATCCTAGCTGAGAATCAAGCAATGTTGCAAAGTTGAGCGGGGCCAAGGATAAATGATATGATCGTTTATAGCACTCCGGTGCCATTCAACGCTCTGTATGGTATACGCTTCCGCAGGACCCCCGCAGGACTTCTGTCCTACTGTAGCTAGCTGCAAGGGAGCTTGTCTCAGATTGAACTTAGCCCCTGCGGAGCCTTTATATATGGCAGATAGAAGTACCGGTACCCTAAAGTTGTATATGATACGGCAAGAAAAGAAAAAACATGATCCAATGCGAGCCGGCCGCTAGCTGGCTGGATGAGGAGCAAGGTGAGTTGCCCAATCATGGTGTAGCAATAAGAAGTGGTAGATCTGAGTATTGCTTATTATGACATTGGGTATACATCGCAGGGAATCCAATGATAAATGTGGTGGGGCTTCAACCTTGTTCTGGTAAGTACCCATTGGTTACTTTTGCATGGCGTCAATGCATCTGATCTTAGTTAGCCTAGTAGTAGGCATGAACGGTGATTGCGCAGAGAACAAATTGTCTCTGGCAAATACCCAGTTCCACTCAAAACCCAACAACTGCCAGCTTTAGCATCTTGAGATGGCACCTAGTGTCATGCAATTGTTCCTTGAATCTTTCATCAATCATTGGGATTGTGAGTTGAGGTCAAGTTGCTCAATTCGGTCTATCAATCCTGTTTTTACTGCTTTGCCCAATCGGTTGATCCATTTTTAATAGTGCATTTCACACATAATTTGCGAGGTTTGTCAGGAAACCGACATCAATAGAACCGTCACGATCGTCTGTTCCTACTACGCTGTATCATGGAAACATATGGAAGTCTGGAATGATGATCCAGGGGGTGGATTTGGAATCAACTTTGAAGCTGCTAGGAATGTGAACTTATCAAGGCAAACAAGGGTACATTGGGCGGCGTCGATACAATAAGGCAACAGTTCCGACCATCTAGCGATTAGTTGGCACCCTGGCTACTCACAAATGCCCCTTCAGCAGCCATCTAGGGTCTGACCACTTCAACAACAATTCTGTCCAGCTAGCGAAAGATTGGCACCCGGGTAATCACAGTGCCCCTTTAAATGGCAATGTAGGGTCTAACTAGTGCCCCTTGGACTATAACTGCAGCAAAGGACTTAGAGGAGGTAGGGAACAATCTTGCCTGTTCGCGCTTTCCAGGCGGCAAACTCCGGGTAGCGGGACATTGACTTATCCTTCAGCCGCATGTTGGGAATCCAAAGCCCGACCACCATTGTTCCAAGAATGGCCATAGGCAGCCAATGCATGGCCAACAACCCGAATCCCAAGTAGATGAGCAGCTCGCCGAAATAGTTGGGGTTCCGGCAGCCTGCCCACACGCCCTCGGTGAGCAGGGTCCCCTTGCGGTACTGCATGTGCATGTGCTTCTGCATGTCGCCCACGTAGTGGAAGAAGATCCCAGTGGCAGTCAGCGACACGCACATTGCCAGGTACCATGGCGGGGCTTGCACGTGGCGCGACATGACCAGCCAACCAGCAATCCAGTACAGCGACAGGGGCAGCCACACGTAGAACACCCCATACGGTATGCTACAGGGCACCAGGAACTGCCGATCAGGAAATGTGAACCCCTTGTACACCCACAGAAGGGCATACGTGCCGTGCGTGGCCAGGTAGATCCAGGCGGTGTAGTTCCACTCCTGGTAGAATGCCATCATCGCCAGGATCGCCAATGGCGTGACCGCCTTGTGGCTGTCCAGAAAGTCGCTCCGCTTGAATCGATGCGGCTGCGGGCTCGCCATGATTCAAGAGCTGCGTCCCTTCAATGCGCAGCGGTAGCTGATGGCCACCCCGCTGTCAGTGTTGCTGGAATGTGGCTGTGGCCGGCCTGCCCCTTCAACCCACACGCTGCAACCCCGGGCCCAGGCGCCGAGCTGATCCTGTGCAACTGAAGATGTCAGAAGATACAGTCATTGCTGAGTCAAGATGAAGTCTGTCGAACTGGTGACCTCTGTCGATTGTCACTCAGGTATGACATACCTACAGCTACTGACGAGAGCTTCAGTACGTCAGTTTCAAGAGGGAAGCCCAAAAGGCGTCAGCGTCACTGTTCCCGGTCCTACATTTTAACATCGCAGATATTTCTCGTCAATTGACGTCGACCTGGTGCCTGAAAGCAATCACGTTCTGGAGTTCTAGGTATGTAATAGCCCGCGGGTTAGTAGACAGCCGACGGAAATGTAGTTGCAAAACCGACCGAGCCGCCGCGCGGGGTCACTCGGACTGGATCCAACCGGCCGTATTTCAGAGAGCCGGCCCTGGCAAACCGGCTGTCACGTGCAATCAACCGACTCATCGGGGATCGACCCTCTGGGCAGCCGGCAACCTCAAAACTTCGTGGTGAAAACTGCTTCCGATTTTCCTTTAGGTATTGGCGCGTCGCTTCGACTCTCGAGGTACCGCATTCACCGTCATGATGACTCTGGCCCTCGTACGATACTCATGACGTAGGGCAGGTGTACAGGTCATGTCCGGCCGGCGTACGTACCGTATCCAACACGTAGGCTAGCACGAATTTGTGCATTGAACGGTGAACGTTTTGCTCATGCCCCAATGATCGCCACATGCATATGATGCTCAGAGGTGTGAAAGGCAAACCCGGCCTTCGAAATAGGGAGGGATGAGATACCGTACCAGCGTTTAATTTCGTCAGGTTCGACGCCAGATAATTAATTATGAAACGTTTGCGGGTTTCGGCAGCCCTAGCGTTACCTGCTAAACAAGACCATTATCGGTCCATTACCGCCCAGAATATTTTCCAGCGGAATTCGTCAGACCAAATAGTTATTTAATATTTGACGAAATCAAACGCTGGTACGGTAGGTTGGTGATGGCTTTGACTGGCCTAACGTATCTCAGGCTCAGCCACTCACAGTACTGCGCCAGTGTCATCGTTGGCTAGGTATAATGGGTCGGAACTTGGATTGACCGTTTCAGTCTTGGGCGGCATCATGATTGGCGAGTTACTGCCGTTTCGATCTTTGACGTCCGATCTTGCCCAGGTTTGTTCCGGGCTCCCTGGCGGGGCCCGGGTTACCTAATGGCTATGCCCAGCTAGCTTTCGGCGACTACTCGTACCGAATGCGGTACGGTGTAATTCGGGACAATTCCAGCTACGGTATTAGTAAACATATAGAAACCGGGGAGTCTAGGAGTCGTAGGTCCGAGCCTCCGAGGGCAATGCCCAATACGAATATCGAACATGGATCTTCCAACTTCGTGATAGCGGATCCGCAAATCTGGCCGACACGCGGCGAAATCTCCGGACGTACCGGTACAAGCAATAAACCCATGGGCCATGAATCATGATTATAGATTTATGGGCACGGTCTTGCTACCACCAAGGTATGATTCCGTATGCTCAAAGTATGCAATTATTTTTCGGCATGCGAGCCCAAATCTTGTGTTATTTTGCAGAATCGGACCCTAATCCGAATGAGCTCCCAAAGCTACCTGGGTACCCGAGTACCCTGTTTTTCTCGCTTATGAAGGGTTACGGTACGTACCTTCGGTTCATATGGGCTTTGCTATCACTTTCCGAACAGGATTTAACAAATATTTTTCCTCTCCGAGAAAGCAGATTCCGACGGCTTATTTGGAATTTCCAACTTTCCGAATGCAAATAATTATATATTTATTCGGAATCATACCTTGGTAGTACGGGTACCTAATATGTACGGGCGCACCGAACTGGAGTCACACTGGAGTCCCATGGCTGTACCTGCCTACCGACTCAGGATCATCGAGCCCATTCGCCCATATCGTATCATAATATCGTACATGGTCTCATGGTTCCGCCTAGAAGTCAAACCGGTGTAACTCTGGAAAACAGTAAAACCATCCACTTTGATTATCTTGGTGGCCGCCGGAAGCATTACCCGGTTGAGTGCCTTCAAAAGTGCTTAGGTTAAAGATGATCAGAAGATAATTGATCCGAGCTAGGCGGGTATTCTGAGTCATGCAAGTGCCCGAATTTCCAATGTTCATCCCTCGAAACCCGGCAGTGTTAGTAACATAACCGTACAGTTCCGCCACCCGGGAACCACGCCCCCGAGGGTGGATCTAAACCTCCTCCAACGCAAAAATGGTAGGTAAATTACGTAGGTACATACACTAATTGCTAACAAATTCCTACCGTAGGTACCGGTACCGTTGGTACACTTTTGTACGCCGGCCTGGGCTCAAGCACAAGTTTCGAGGTACACCGTACCGTGCACATACCTACCTAGGTACCTACCGCTGCCGGTAGCTAGCTGCTACCTAGGTGAAAGCTTGAAAAAGTGGAGGTACCTGCCTACCGGTACATTGGTAGTACCTACTCACCCACAGGCAACCGTACTGCCGCTTGTACCGTACTTCGCCACTTCAGGCCCTCCGTGTTGCAGGACTCCGACTGACAGTGCCAGACAGGAGACACTTTGCAGTGTAGGAGGAGGGATCTGAAGACGTCCCGCGCTCCAGCTAGCCTACTACCTGAATCCAGCTCGCTCGGGCCACGGCACCGTTGTGGCATCTATCTGCTGCGCCTTGAGAAAACCCGAGAAAAGCGAAGGGAGCTTGCAATTTGCCGCCAGCAGGTGAGTAGCGCTCCCTCTGTCTCATCCTTCTGCATCTGCTTTTTGGTGTGAGCTGTTTTCAATGCAAGGGGTTCACAGTGAATTGGTTTCCACATCTTCGTATGCTGGTCTTTTCAAGACAACCCTGCCAACCTTTTACATGATAGATCATGAGTGTCATGATCACCGCACGGAATGCATGCCTGTTTTCAGTGCACAATTCCAAGTTGATACTGGGCTGCTCGCTAGCTGGTCCCGCATGCATGAGTGCTAGGCAAAAGGTACCGTTATTGGTGCCCTCGGGAGTTGGGTCCTCTAGCAAGCCCTTCAAGCATGAGGAGTCCTGGAAGGTTGCCGCTGGCCAGTTGTGTCTGGGCAGTCACCATCTGGACCAGAGATTTATGTCCTTTCCCCATTGAGGCAGTGGTTTAAGTTGGTCGCAATGACCACAAAACGGACGCTGCTTTTTTTACGATCATTTTTTAGTGTTTCAAGTTGAGGAGCACAGGTGTCACTATCATAAGGTCCAATGCAAGTAGCTGTTTCTCAACCGCTTCGCCTGTGATATAGCTTTCAGTCACAATCTGCCCCTCAAAAATTTGACTGTGACAGGATTGTTCCCTCGAGCATTTCGTTGATTTCAAAGGCTTGCTTGAAACTGTTTTGGGTCCTGGATCTGCAACGCTCGATTGCCATTGTTCAACTTTTAAGACACTCCAGAATTGCAGGTGCGTGTCCAAAACGACAACGTGAGATATGGAACGAGACCTGAAAAAGCTCGCACTCCCTGGTTGCTGATGCAAGTGGGTTCGCGTACTCATTATGGAACATTTCTTGACAAATGTCGGCTCCAAACATTTCAGAAACACCGGTTCTTTACTCCTTGAGATAGCAACATTTGGGTGCATTTGAAAGGATGCTGTCTTGATCTGAAAGCGCAAAGCTATGACAAGGTTTCCTGTTTTTCCTTCCCTGCAGAGATATCTGATATCTTTGAAAAAAGTGTATTGAGCTGGGGTTTCCTATACCACCAATTGAAGGAGCGGAAAAGGGGGCTCTTATCACCCCCCCCTGACTTGTTGCAACCAAGGTAGAGGTGAGCAGGGATGTTAAAGTCAGAGTCGTACTTCGTTAGACTCGTTTTTTTTTGGTTCATGGAAATCGGAAAAGGGAACTGCTACAAATCAAAACCTTGAACAATTTGAACAAGGTTTGGCTGGCTTTATGATATGGGTTGTGGTCAGATTGAGTGTTTGTGGCCATGCAGCCGGGGATCTTGCACTACCATCCTCTTGGTCTTCCTCTTGGTCATTGTCACTCTTGCCTTATGAAGGTTGTGTGGAGTTTACCCTACCATTCTCTTGGTTATTCTTGGTCATCCTTCACTCGCGCTTTGAGAAGGCTCTTTTGATACTGAAGTTTTGGGGCATCTGTTAAGCGATGGTTGTCCAGATCTCACATGCAGGTGTGAAAGCACCGAAAGATGTCATCAAATCTCTCATCTCATGTCAGAAAGCTGAGTGGCCTTTCACATCAAAGCGCAATGAGGGCAAAGTTGGGCATGGGCTCGCAGGCTTAGATATGCTGTTTGCATTGTGACTCTTGACTCAACGCGATTTGCATGTTGAGCAAAGTCGACAACAGCTGCATCCAGAACCATTTCACACCATTGCCTCTAGGAAATGATTTTGTATTCATCCAGTTCCTCTGGACTCTGCAGCCCCTTCCAAATCAACCTCTCCTACCACGAGAATGGATGCACAGCTGGAAAATGTCCTGGACCCACATTAAAAGCACGCTCAAGAAAGCACAGAAGCCAGTGTTGGCTCCACAAAGCGAGGTTCACACCACAGGTATCTAATCCACGGAGAGCTGCATGTCTGTTGGAACCCCAACAACTGCTTCTCGGACCTCTTCTTCAGTCCCTCTTTCGCTAAACATGGTACCCCGAGCTTGACCTCTCCATCTTCTACTCTTTGCAGCGGAGCAGCAGCAGCCATGAACGGGACCGTCACCATGGAGCTGCTCTCTGAGACCGTGGAGCGTCTCCCGCTGGCGGAGCTGGCGTTCTACCCGGTGGCCTTCATGGTCCTCCTGCTCAGTTGGACCACCAGGGCCGCCACGCCCGACCCCGCCGCGGTAAGGCCTGCCTCGCAGTTGCGCTTCCAGCACAGCAAATGAATCATAGCTCCTGCTGATGACAGCTTGCCACACTCCGACCATGCGCGGTGCGCTTGTCAGTGGAGCAAGTTTTGAAGTCATGAAAATTTTAAAAGGCATTCAGAATAATGTGCTTTCCAGAGATCCAGAACTGAGGCTTTCCGAATTCTTCTCCCAATATATGCTTTCTGGCTCTTACATTTCCGGCCAAACATTTTGAACACAATACTGGCTTGATCCTGTCTTTCATATCAGCCCCTGATTGCCCCAACTCATGACCCGGACTGCCTCTACTCAAGAAGGCTCGTAGCATCCAGCCACACTCGACCCTGCTTGAAACCCGCCCTTCTCTTCATTCTGCAGATGGCGTACAAGCTGGGCCTGCCCTTCCTGGGCCGCCTCGCGCCCAGCCTCAACATGGGCTCGCTCCTCGTCTTTGTCGCCGTCTACTTTGGATCCTCCATGGGTAACTGGGCGCTCGCTTGGGTGGCGGTGGTCCTGGCGGCCGTCACATGCCCCAAGCCCATTGAAATGGTGCTTCTGAACGCGATCGTCAAGTCGTCGCTGTTTGGCTCCTCGCGCAAGGTCGAGACATTCATGGTGGACCTTCTGCGCATCGCGCGCGAGCTGGCGGCCAAGCAGGGGCAGCCCAAGGGTGAGGCGCACGTTACTCACTGTGCTTCAATTAGGGCTACTGTCTGGGCTCTTGCTCTTCGTCAGGGGGATTTGCTTAATGTTCCATAGTCTGAAGCCTCCTCAAAACCGTCGATTTCAGTTAAGAGGCCCGTAGGCGGACTTGCGAAATTTTTCCTTATCGTTCTGAAAGTTTTCGCTGACACAGGCTTGCCATTCGGCATTACCCAGTCGAGGGTGCAAAATAGATGCCCTCAATCACGCCAAAGGCACGAAGTAGTTGCAGGCCCACAGGAGCCCTTCTCCATGTCGAGGCTTCACATTTCGAACGAGCTTCCTCTCTTTGACACGATTTGTCAAACTGACACAAGGTTTGTTCGAACGAAGCTCTTCTCGCGTCCAAACCTGAGATATGTTCGGTAACGAGGCTTGGGGGGATGATAGAGACAGTGACAGATTGCTGGCTCCTGACTTTGCCTGTGCGTTTTGGCAGACGCCCTGATAGACTGCCTCAAGTTCGAGCTGCCCTTCATGCTGCCCATTTACGTCCTCATCGACGTCCACTACGCGCACTTCCTGCACGCAGCACCCACCTGCGAGTTCTTTGCCACCGAGTAAGTGCCTCTTCCGTTCAACATTAAATTGTAGAAGCAGACTCGGTAAATCCACCCAAAAACCATGATACTTACCTGCGGCTCCTGTTGGGTTTGCACTCAATACGAACGAACAAAAAATGGCGCGTTTCTCAGATGATGAAAGTTGTGCAGTTAGAATTCGGTTGTCATCCAGGACATCGAAACCTAGCCAAGACTTCGTTTAGTCAGCCGCTTCTGTATTCCCTGCCGCTCTTCTATCTGTTGTCCCAAGACATTCATTTCTCGGCCCTTTATCTGGTTTCTTTGTTGGCCTTATCCAGAGTTCTGCGGGGCCCTTCTCAGTCAGATTGAACGTACGTCTTTGTGATCGTCAAACTCACCCTTTCATCAAAATACTCGGTCGAAGTACGAATCCACAGATTATGACCGTTCCTTCTAAAGTAAAAGGTGCTGGGTCGACCGGAATTATGGGTCAGCAGTACTCCTTTTCCCGGCTGTGAGGCAAACATGCCTACGTCCTATTGTCTATTTTCACGGTCGTCCCTGTATCTGTCCCAGCTACAAGGCGCGCGACTGGTTCATCGGCCCCAACCTGCTGACGGCCAAGAGCCCGCCCATGAAGAACCCCGAGTGGCTGATGCACCGTGCGCTGACGGCCGCCGTGAACGTGGACCGCAACGGCATCGAGTCGACCATGGGGCGCATGGTGGTGCAGGGGATGAAGATCCTGGCGGAAATGAGCCGCGATCTTAAGAAGAAGTACGGCTCCGTCATCGACCTCTGCGAAGAGTTCGAGCACATCATCGTGAGTGAACGCTGGCTAGCCCGCGAATGAAGACGTTCACTCGTGGTGCAGCCCTTTTGAGAGTTTTGTTTGCGGGGTCAGGCAAGGATAGTCGTAGACTTGATTCAAAAGATGAGTCAGAATCGAAGGAGAAGGGGTCCGTGGGTGACGAGCTTCGTGGTCGTCCGAAAACAAGTCACGATCAGAGTTTTGTCAATCGAAATCTGCTTCGTATATTTGATTCTTTTCATGAAAATTACTCTTTTCCCTTTAATACGTCGTGCTGCCCGTACTCATCTTTAGTACATTGGGAGTGGGTGCTTCGTTGCTGTCACTGGATGAGTTTTCGAGAAGTGACGCTTTGCGGTTTCCCATCCCTCACAAGTAACACGTCTCCTCCCCGCAGGTGACGGCCCACCTGAGCGCCATGTTCGGGCAGGCGTACACGGACAAGTTCCCCATGATCTCCAAGGAGGTCAACTACACGGCCATCAAGTACAGCAGCGTCTCCAACGGCATGCAGATCAAGGTGTGGCAGCCGCTCGAGGGCCTCAAGTTCCTGGACGGCCGCAAGAAGGTCGTGGACTCCCTCCTCTGGGCGCTCGAGCACAGCGACTCCGCCCTGCTGGAGATCATCAGGAAGGCGCACAAGGAGGTGAGGCGAAGGCTGGAGGCCAAAGACTCGTGTAATGGTGCACACAGAGCGTTTGTTTTCGATGGCATCAGCACTCTGGGGGTCTTCGTGTTGCATCGTCTTTCTGTGAGGAACGTTGACTCCGAGTTTTCGAGTTGTGATGCTTCACCGTTTTCAGAGTTGTGCGCCCCAAGGCGCTTCGAAACGTGGACTGGAACTTAGATATATGGACAGGGAAGCACGAATTGTGGGAAGCCTTTCCAACAGAACGCTTCAAGGAAACGAGGATGAAAGAGTCCAGTTCACTTCCACGCCTTTCCGCTTTTCTTTTAGATGTTCCCGACAGCTTGTCCCCCATACTGGTGACATGATTTCTGCTTCCTTTTCAGGGCAAGATCACGCACGAAGAGCTGCTGGGCACGTGCCTGCTGTTCACGTACGCTCTGGCCCCGTCGCGCACGTCCATCTTCGGGCTGTCCCTGCTGGCCAACCTGCCGCACGAGCAGGACCGTGTTGCTAAGGAGGTGCGTACCACGCTGCCCGACGTCTTCGACGAGAAGACGGGCGAGTTCGACCCCAAGAAGGTGGACGTCTGGATGACCGAGCTCGACGAGTGCGACAACCTCAAGCGGGCCGTCAGGTGAGGACTCAGTTGGGCATCGTTGGAGAAGAGTCTAGCGGACTGATGGGCTACCTCGTGCGGATTTGATGGGCTTGCGAGCAAATGTTTGAAGCAGAGTCATAGGGTACCCCATCAGATTCGATGTTGCGAAGTCCAGAGAAATCTGAGTGTACAGTTGGCGTGGGTTTCGCTGTTGTTGTTGGCTGCGTTTCGGACAGAACGAAAGTGATAGCTTGCTTGGTCACGAAGAGGAACTTAGTAGGACCTTCACGGGCGCCGCTTGGAATTAAGTGCAATCATTCTCGTCTCAACCTCGACGTTACTTTCCTACAGGGAGACGCTGCGGCTGTACCCCGGCGTGCCCATGTTCATTCCCCAGATGGCGGCGCGCGACGTGCAGATTGGCCCGTGGCAGATCCCCAAGGGCGCGCTCACCATGTCCATGCCCTTCCTCAGCCAGCGCGATGGCAAGGTGCACCAGAACCCCGACCAGTGAGTCGACCCACTGGTTTCGAATCTGGTGCAACCCTGACTCTTGTTTGAAAGGTTTCGAGTCTGGAGACTCTGCCGCGATTTGGGCGCTCCTGGGCTGCAGAGTGCCGAAGCTTGTTTCCTCATGACCGAAAGAAGGTCCACCACGAACTTTTTGACCCTGATGCGATGCGCTACAGATGTACACAGAACCGTTTGAGCTCGACATAACGCGAAGTCCGTTGCAGTCCTTGTAGGATCGAGCCGTCTGATAGCTGATTTTTTGATATCCAAGTTGCTCTGTGCTCGCTTTTGACGATCCCCCCCTTGCCCCCCGCAGATTCGACCCGACCCGCAACCTGGAGAAGGGCGCCCCCCTGCCGGACGGCACGCTGACCTACTTCCCGTTCGCCATGGGCCCCCGGTCGTGCCAGGGCCAGTTCTACGGGGAGCTGCTGGTGCGCGCCGCCATGGGCATCGCGCTGCGCGACCACGAGTTTGAGGCCAAGGGCCCGGTGCCGCCCCCGGCCATGCTGGGCTTCATCCACCCCATGACGCCCGCGTGGGCCAAGATCCAGCCCCCCCCGGTGGAGCAGAAGAAGAAGACCGAGGTGGGACTACAGTTGACTGGATTCGCCTTCCTCATGTGCCTGGCAGCTGGCAAGGTTTTGTCCGCTTCTGTTAGGTCAACGGGGGGCAGCTACTGTGAGGATTCTCTTTCTTGTCGGTGCCTCTGCTTGTGTGGGTTGCAAGGTGTCCTTGCCAACGATTTGAAAGACAAGTGCACCTAAATATCTCATGCGCTAAAACTCTCGCTCATAAGCTTCAAATCACAGCAAGGGAAATTGTCTTGTTTACTACCGATCATGAGATGGACGGCAGGGGAGATCGTCGAAGTGCAGGCGGTAAAATCAGCTAGCTCTTCCATTGTTTCGGGATTTGCAGCCACCTCCTGTACTGATCATGTTCCTTTTCCCAATACAGGTTGCGAAAGCGGTCCCAGCTGCGGCGGGCAAGCCGCAGCTGTCGGCAATGAACTCAATCAAGGAGGTGCCCCGCTTGAGCAATGTGGACACCATCACGGTGCTGTACGCATCCACCCAGGGAACGTCACGTGCCTTCGCAGACCGCCTGGCGAGGGGGCTCCAGGAGTCGGACCTGAGTGAGCTGGCGGACACCCCCGCCATCAAGGTAAGGGGTACGTGAGAGTCCACATCGTCGTCCCAAAGCCCGCCCTTTGCTTTGATTTGAACTTTAATATGCACTCTGCACGTGGACATGGTTCCAGGTCGCTTCCCCTATAGTTCAAACCCTTGATGAAGCTGCACGTTACCTTTGACAGGGTTTTCTGCTCGTTTTCGTTTTCCGTGGTCCAATCCCTGTCGCCCTCGTCCACTCATCACCGTTCAACGTGGAATTTCAATTTAGCGGTTTCCGGCCGTTCGGTGGAGAACCTCTTCCTTCGTCTTGCCTTGACCTCGTACAGAACTGCTTCTAAACGTGCACCGAATTCACCTGAAACAGAATCCTCTTTCTTTGTCTTGCCTTGAGCTCGTACAGAGCTGCTGCTATTCAACGTGCGCGGAACCTTACATCAACGAGAGTCCTCCTTTTGGCCCCCCCCAGGTGTTCGACGCGGCGGACTACTCGATGCAGCAGCTGACGCGCGAGTCGCTGGTCATCTTCGTGACGTCCACGTTCGGGCACAACCAGCCGCCGTACTCGGGGTCCAACCTGAAGGCGTTCGTCAACAAGCCCGACACCAAGCTGCCCAACCTGGCGTACGCGGTGCTCGCGCTGGGCAACTCCGTGTACCCCAGCTTCTGCAGCTTCGGCAAGCTCTTCGACAAGCGCCTCGCGGAGGTCGGCGCGCAGCGACTGATGCCCGTCACCCTCTGCGATGAGGTGGGGGAGACGACCCTTCTCCGTGGAGATTACTGCAGCATGTCGAACAATCCCAGTTGGGTTAGCAGGAGAAGCTGACTTTATCGTGCAACCGTGAGCACGAGTAACGAAATAATGAACGGGATGATCCTTTCTCCTGGTCCGCTTGCATGCAAACCCACGAGCTTCAACAAGGCTTTTTCATCTTCCCTCACTTTTTACTGCCTCTCGATCCCGGTCGAGTCTACGCAAAAAAATAAGGAGAGGCTGGGACCGTCTATCTGTCTCTCAATGTCGATTGCTGCCTGTTGCAGATTGAGGGGCAGGAGGGCGCCTTCAACGCTTTCCTCGAGCAGATTGCGGACGTCCTGTACAGCGCACTTGGCGGCGGAGATGGCGCCCCGAGTGAGTCGCGGCTCTCTCTTAAACACGCTTGGCGCCTCGGATCGACACCCTGTCTTTCCAAAAGCAGCAAACGGTCCTTTTCAAAATCGAAATGAATGTCGCCCAAAGATTTCGAGCATTGCTAAGTAGAAGAGCGTCCTCACGTCCCCGCCACTTCATCTGCGATAGCTTGTCTCTTCGAACACAGTACATCCGTAAATAAGCTGAAAGCACATCAACTGAACACCGTTCTCGCCCCCGCCACTGACGTCACCCTTCTCCTCCCCCTGAAGCAGGCCCCGTCAGCGTGTTGCCGGTCACCCGGTCCTCCACGGGCAAGGGCAAGCCGCCGGCGGGTGCCCCCGCGGCCGGCCCGCCGATGGTGAAGAAGCACAAGAGCGCGGACCCCAAGAGGGTGGAGTCCGCGCAGCACCACAAGCGGTTCGAGCTAGTGGAGCTAGGCCGGGGACAGATCGCGCGCCAGCGCCCGGCGGGGCCCATCAAGGAGGGCGCGCCCAAGGGCACGCGCGACCACCCCGTGGAGCTGCAGGTGGGGGGGGGCTGGAAGTGTGACGTCAGCCTTAGACTACATTCCATTCTGATGCTTGGAAGCAACTGAGACAGGATTTCTCCCGCGAAGTAGATTCGGGCTGAAGCAACCGCACAGCCAGCACCGTTATGGTTGAAGCCAAGCAGCTCATACTTGAGAACGTGGTGTCGACCTGTCTGTTCAGTAACACACGCCGTCGAGCTCTAAAAATTCAATGGATTACAGGATTTGAGTACGAATTGGCGTCGCGTCAGATGCAAGTCTGTAGGCTAGGCTAAACGCAACAGTCACTGAGCAGGGTTTTAACCAAGTAGGAAGTTGGTTTAACTAACCCTTCCGACTTCAGCAGGATTACTTTCTTCCAAAGCAGAGTCCGTGCTCTAATGGCCGGACTGGCCTTCCGGGCCGCTTCGTGTGTGAACCGTCCTTGCCATCCTTGCAGGTGATCGCCAACCGTTGCCTGCGCCCGTACACCAGCCTGGCGCAGATTCGCAACGTCGTCGTGCGGACCCCCTCCGATGGCTCCCTCACGTACCAGCCCGGGGACCTTCTCGGAGTCTACCCTGGTATGTCGGCGGATGGACTCGATTCATTCTCGCTTCTTCTTGGGTTCCCTGGAGCAGAGGATGCTTTCTCATGCGATCCCTAAGTAATCGTGGACAAGTGCCAGCCGTGCTGTCACAAGCAAGCAATACGTTCAAAGTCATTGCCCTGACCTCACTGCGGACTGCAGCTGGTTCTTGACAAAGAGAACGCCCCACGAGAGAGCTGCCCTACCTCTTGCCGAGGCGTTCGAACCTCCGAAACAGTTGTTCAGCATGAACGATCAGTCGTTTCTCTCCAGACGGAACCAGCGGAAGCTGCGCCGTATTTTGACTGCTTTTCTTGCGTGCAGTGAACCGGTTGGACCTGGTGACGTCCTTGTCGGAGCGGCTGGGCATCACGGACCTGGACACGGAGTTTGAGCTGCGCCCGCTGCGCGGCAAGGACCAGCTGGCGTCACCGCTGCCCGACAAGATGACGTACTGGCTCGCGCTGACGTCATACCTGGCCATCCAGCGCGTGCCGCAGCCGCAGCTACTCAAGGTCCTGCAGCAGTACACCACCGACCCCGAAGAGGTACGCGCGCGCACTGGCGCCAGCGAGCATGTTGTCATCTATCTGGCGGCTAGAGAGACGGCGTTTCGGAAATGGTTGCGAACTTGCGGCCTCTGTTGACGTTCTCGACCCGAGTCGGCCTTACCAAACCGTACACAAATGCAAAGGCTGGAGTTTTTGAAATACCGAAGGACTTCGACAATTTGCCTTGGACCGGCTACCAGATTATTTTCGTCTACTGGGCTCGCTCGACAGCGAGTAGGCGAGCCGCTCGTTGCCTTGTTTGTATCGGCACCTATCGACGAATAAGCCAGGACGACTTTGCAACTCTGAGACGCCACAAGAGCAAACCACGCTCTGGTGCTGCCGCGGCCCTCGCGTAAAGTGAACCTTAACGAATGAAAGCGTTCGACCCGCATGTGACCCCCGCTCTACGGCGTGACGTGTGCAGGCGAGCTGGCTGGGCCAGCTGGGCGCGGGCGGCCCCAAGTACACCGAATTTGCGATGGGCAGCCACAGTCTGCTGGAGACACTGTACCGCGTGCCATCGTGCAAGCCGGACGTGGCGCACTTGTTCGAGACGCTGCCGCACCTGCAGCCGCGCATGTACTCCATCTCGTCCTCGCCGCTCTACCACCGCGGCCAGGCGCACCTCACCATTGCCGAGGTGGGCGCCCACAGCGGGTTCTCGGCTCCTGCATTTTATTCCTTCGAATGTTTTACTCTGTTCATCAAGTCTGGTTGTCTGTGGGTGATTCGATTTCTGCAGAAATCTGCAGTCGATGACGAGCGGGGCTGCGCACAGCGGTATCCACAGTGAAAGCAGACTGCATTCCAGCAGAGAATGGCACCAGGGCTGCTCACCGCGGTATCCAGGGTTTCGGTAGAGACACCATTGAAGCAAAGAAGGCCGCGCCAAAATGGCACAGCCCTTACTTTGTTCTCTGTCCCCCTGCCGCAGCTGATCTACCAGTCGCACGACGCCAGCTGGAAGCGCGGCGTGTGCAGCACGTTCCTGGGCACGGACATCATGATTCCGTCATCCATGGCGGACCCCAACTGCCGCCTGCTGGGCTACGTCATGCCCAACCCCGGCTTCCACCTGCCCGAGAGCGCGAGCACGCCCATCGTCATGATCGGCATCGGGTCCGGCATCGCGCCATTCCGCGGATTCTGGCAGCACCGCCTCGCGATGCTCAAGGTGAGGACGTGTGCACAGCTTTGAGGGAATGCCGGTAATTGAACTCATCTATTGGTTCAAATGTTTGAAGAGCTCCATGAACGGACTGGCGGACTGGCGCCCAAACCTGTAAATACTTTCTTGCAACGGATTGTCGCAGCCTGTAAAGATCTTTTCATAACCTCGGTAGTTGTTCTTTTAACCTCGTCCTCGTACAGGTTGCAGGCAGCTTTATGCGGAACGTTCTAGCTGCCTGAAAGTTGGGAAGGTCACGAGCATTTCCCAACATGGCCGAGAGACTGTGAGGCTGATTTTTACGCCTTCCCCTTGCAGGACTCCAAGAACACGACCCAGCTGGGCGACGCTCTGCTGTACGCGGGCTTCCAGAGCAAGGTCAACTCGTGCTACCTGGACGAGCTGGAGCAGGCGCAGAAGGAAGGCGCACTCTCCAAGGTCAGCTCCGCCAGCCTGGATCGCGGCGACTCTCGTCGTTTCTAAACTGGCCTTGCTGGTCCTGATTAATACCATTGAAAATCGGAAGAGTGCTCCTGTCGTACAGAAACGATGACCCATCCCTCTGAAAGCTAGAAAAGTGTTTTTATCAATACTCAAACACTTTTTATCAATACTCAAACAAATACCCATGTCACGCATGTGCCTTCCATAGAGACGGAGTGACATCTCTCTCATTGTTCCTTTCAAGCGGCACCAGCATCTCAACTCTTGTAGACGATCCTGCATTTACGCTCCGTGGGCGCCTTCGCCGGGCCACTTTGGCGTCGGAAGCACCTGGGCATGGGCCTCGAAAGCCCAGTCCAAAGTCGTCTCAGCTAAACTGCGGCAATCTCAGCTACACCTCAAAGAAGTTCACAATCTGACTCTCTTCTCGGCCTCTTCGTACGCAGGCGCGCGTGGTGTACAGCCGCGAGGGCGAGCGCAAGTACGTGACGCACGCGCTGACGGAGGACCGCTGGTCGCTGTGGCACGAGTACCTGAGCCAGGGGGCCGTCGTCTATGTGTGCGGCACCATTAACGCCGCCAACGACGTGCGCGAAACCATCCTGGGAGTCATGAAAGAGGTGAGGCTTCCTGCGCTTACTCGGATTATCTGATGTGCTGGTGAGAGCTTCCCAGAAGCGAAAGCCATCGACGATTTCGGAAACAGGAGTCATCTTCAAGAGGCGGGAACCGGTGCGAGGGTCCAATGCCTGGAATGCGGTTCCCAGCCATCAAGAAACGCATCGATGAAATGCAAGCCTTTGGGACAGGAAAAAGGATTGGGACAACACTTTTTTATTCTTCTCTGTGTGCACGCTGCCTCAAGCTCTACTTCAACTGTTTGCAAGAACCACTCGTTACTGCTTGGATCTGTGCGCACTTTTCGAGAGAAAGGGGAACATCTGTTTGTTGCAACGTCCTCTATTCCCGCATGATGTTTGGAGATTCAACGGCACAGTATGAGCCTCTGATTAGCCTCTCAAGTCTCTCATAGATTCTCCTTGCCCTTGCTCGCAGGCTGGCGGCATGTCGGAGGAAGATGCTGAGGCGTGGCTGGAGAGCGCTCGCGACCGCGACCAGTACAAGGAGGACGTCTTCGGAGAGAGCACGGCGTCGTACTCCAAGACGCGGATGCAGGCCCGCCTCCGCTCAGCCAAGTGAGCTCAAATAAGACCAAACTTGCCAAATCATTGAGACTTCTTGGCCGACGTGGTCGACCGACTGGCTTCGCCCAATTGGACGGACTCGTCGTGGAATCAGGTGTATTGTCGGGAATCTCTTCTCGCTATGAAAAGATATTGTTGTGATTCCCAAGGTGCATGCTTGGCCTCGCTCTCGAATCTTTTAGCGGCAGCTTTCTGACTTCGACTTGATGACTCCGCAACAGGGTGAAGCTGCGCTCCTCCTTCCACTTCCTGGGCGCCAAGGGGATTGCCAAGATCCTGGAGAGCGCCCCGCCAATGTAGACGCACCACCTCGACAAAGAGGTCTGGGGAAGTGCGTCCGTCATTTCGCGAAGCAAGCTGGTCCTAAGGCATTAGGAGCTTGATAGAAAGTGCTGGCCGTCGCAAGCAGTGGGTTTAGAGCAAAGGTCTAATGGACATATGGATGCGTCACGAGCATTTTGCAGCCAAAATCAATCCCGGTGGAAGAGGATTGATAGCTCGCTTACGCGCCCCTAGGTAGATGTACTCGGCTCAGTAGTTGCGTAGCACAGTCGGTGCCATACTGGTATTTTCCCGTACATCATTGATGTGGCAAACAAGACCAAGTTTTTAACGTGTCCCAAGTAGCCGTTCATCTGGCAGGATTAGTCATAGCGCCTCTAATTTAGCATATGTTGAACCACATACTCAAGGTTAGATCAACAAGTCGTGCCATTGTGCATAACACCGCTAACCACTGAACCAAGGACTCCATATTGGAGACAAAAACTCCGCGTTTGAGTTAAAGGCTTTGTTTATACGAACCGAGTGCACGAAAGGTCAGTGAGTGATGGTGTTGTCGCATCCCTTCTGTATTGTCATTGAACGAAGTGACTGCAAACCATCGCATCAATTTTGTGAGTTAAGGAGATTAGGGAGCTTCTCGCGTCCTACCGATAGTACGTTACCAAGAAATATGTGTTGGTTCACCGATCAAATTGATTTCTCGAGAATCGAATAAACATTTGGAACTCGAGATCGGGCTAAATTATAGTAGTAAAGCCAAAGCTCGGCTGAACGGCTGCATGGGACTCCGTGATCAATCGGTGCTGCGGACGTGCTTCAGCATGGCGATCTCACCATATGCATGCTTTATCATACGTACCCTTCACATGTGTGCTTATCTTCATTTACTATCTACTATAGGTACATTCGCTCGAGTTGCCCTGCATAACGCACCTAACTATATCGCGCATATGGCAGTTCTGCCTTGTCTTTTGGCATATGTCGGTCAGGATTCCCCTAGCTATAAGAATTCTATATCCTCTGTCGGAACACTTATGTGAATGATAATGTTGTGTAGCATGCATGTACAATCCAACCCACATGCCACTTTCATGGACGCTTTTCGGATGTTCACGCTGGTCTGTGATCAGCGTGAATTCTGAGAGATCTAACACTCGAGGCGCACTGCAAGATCGACATGTCATGCTTGTCAGATCAATGATAGATGAACAATGAACGTTGTTGTTGCTGTCAAGCGAAGCTATCCATGCTGGAAAATTTACATGATCAGAATAACAGTGGCATGGGCAGCGCCCTACTTAATAAGAACAAGAGGTTAAGGTGAAGGGTTATGGGACACTTGAAGCACTTCCATCACGCCCTGGCAAATGAACGGAGGAAGCAAGCTGTCGCATTCGGCAGGCTCATTTCAAACAGGCTCCTCGACGTTTTCTATGACATGTCCGCTAATGCGAATCAGGCCACGAGGTGGCAACCGTCATGAACGGAACGTCTCTGCTTCCATCATCAATCTTGATGCTCCGACTTGATCCCGGTTGGGTCGGGCAGCCACTTCTGGCAGTTCTTCGCCCCGCACCTGCACTCTATGTGGCCGTCCGTACTCCCGGGGCTCGCTTGCACGGGATCTCCGTACTTGTAATCATAGGCGAGCTCCGTCCCAGCCACGATGTCCTTGATAGCGTATAGGGCCAGAAGGGGCTTCCCAGGGTGGAGGGTGTCCGTGTAGACGCTGTATATAGCCAGGTTGGGGTCGCAACTGCACGCAAGAGGGGCAAAGCCAAAGCTTTGCTCAGGAATCTACTTCGTCTTTCATCGTTGAATACTGAAAGCCGTTACGTAAACCAGCGCACCCGCTGGCGTTCGCAGGGTGGGTCAGCGGGCTGTAGCATCAAGCGAAAGCGTTCACTCTGGCCCACGGAGATCAGCTGTTTCTGATCATGGATCTTAGACCGTGAGGGCCTGATCTGGAAAAGAACCGATGTGACTGGCTTTTGAGTCGGTGCATCAGACATAACCCGGTACTTCCGTTGTCAACTCTAGAAGCCTCGCAGCTTGACAACGCAAAAAAAGAGCGAGGACTCTTGTTGCCTGTCCCTACCAAAGACCCGGCCGCTCGACGCCACGAAAGCCTTTTCGTGACATAAAGCCCCACAGACGCCGGTGTCAAAGCACGACATCTGCGTCTCAGACATGGCGCCTAGCAGAATGGAGCCCAAACGTCTCCTCGAGTCTGGGCGCGGTTTCCGGATGCAAGCGAGCAGGAGTGTCGCCAAACTGCACACAGAGACGGGCTGCGCGCGCGCACCTGTGGTTGATGTAGCGGATGATGCTGGAGGCGGGCCCCCCGTCCACGACGTACACCTCGTCCTGCTGCTCCGCGCTGCGCACGTGGTGGTCCATGTTGAACAGGTACCTGCACGGGCGACACGGCAGCTCAGTTGTAGAGCTAGAGAGTCGCCTCAGAAAGCGCCTTTTTGAGCAGCCTTTCACTCCGAAGTATAGCTGTTGCTCATTCGTTACAGACGCTTTCCACTTTGGGGAGCAGCTGACTAGTCATCTGAGCTTCGGCGTCTTACACCTTCACTGCAAGCCGCAATAACTCTGTCCAGCTTGGATCAATAGTAAGTAGACGGAGGGCTGTCTGACCGGAGCGCTGCGGAGGCACGTTGGAAGTAAGAGGCTGCGTCGACCTCGATGTGTCAGAATGAAGTTTGACTCACACGCTGTTCCGCTTGTTCGCCTCTTCGCTTGTGATCACCTCCCCCACGTACTGTCCGATCAGCCGACCCCTGCAAGAGAATTGTGGCCCTCAGAAAATGTCGGAAAGCCGAGAGAATTGGCCACCATTCAGCCTGGTGTGTCGGCTGTGCGCAGTTTTATGGAGCACACGCCTGCAGATGCAAGGGATGTACGATGCGATATCGCGGATTGTCGACGCACTGGATCAATGCGAAGCGAATAATGAGCCTGGACTGGGCATCGATATCTTTCAAGCTTGGCCAACGGAGCGATTACTGCGCTTCCGGTTTGCGGGCCCTCTTTTGAATAGCGTGCAATAATGCAAAACCATCTAAGAGCAACGCAATCCAAGTGGTCAGCAGCCCTCCGGTCTCATTCCGCTCACCGCTGGATATCTTCCCGCGTCCGGACGCCGAAGCCGCGTCCGTTGTCCGTCTTGAACAGCTCCAGGTGGACGGACGCGCCCCGCTGGAGGGTGGAGTTGGGGCAGCCGGGCCAGCACGGGCACCGCGGGTTGCACTCGATGATGGTGGGGTGCAGCTCCGGCGGGAGCTGCGCAGACAACAAAAGAAGGCCTTTCAGCACAAGTCGTCGTTGTTTCTTCCCCGCACCGACCATTCGCTGCATTGAATCTTATGTGGGGTGCAGCTCGAGAGGAAGGGTCAGGCAGAAAGAGAGCCTTCCTTGACCAAAAACCCCGTCCGTCCTTCACCTCCGCTTCAGAGTTTTCAAGGTCGCCGTTTCACACGGGGACTTCTTTGTAGCACCAATCAGTATTCAGCACGCGCTCGCTGACGATTGGACTGGAGAAAGCTTTGAGGTGATTGCCAATTCCTCACAGTCGAAATAAGTTAGACCGCTGGCATCCTCCCTCCATCAAGGAAAGAATTTGATGCGCTCAATGCTTTCTCACGGCCGACATGTTGTGAAGATGGAGTGAAGGAAAGACAGAATTGGATGAATGACGTCGAAACTGCGCACCGAATTTAACTAGGTAGCCGAGACAGGCCCTCGAAGAAAGCACTCCCAAGGGTTGAAAAGTGTGGTCCGATGCAAGAAGAAGATATCAAAAGACCGAACAATAGCAGGACCGGGAAAGAACACAGGAAGCAAGGCCGCGATGCCGGCACGCCCTCACCAGCAGCAGCCGGTTCTCGTCGTAGAACAGCCGGCCGCGCATCCGCTCGCGTTGCCAATCAAACCTCTGGTCGTCCTCCGCGGTGCGCAGCGCGTACCCCTCAAACGCCTCCAGGTCCCGGACGTGCTGGTTCAGCGGCGAGTCCGGATGGTCCGCACCGTCCGGGCAGCAGCCGGAGCAGCCGTCGGCCGGAGCGAAGCGCTCGTGGAAGTCGGCCAGGTCTGGGTGCAGCCTGGCCAAATTCGACAATAAATTGAGTTGGTGCGGGGTGATCGATCCGGGCACTGACTCCTTGGGAGTGTGTCCAAAAGCTGTTTTAGATCGGGGTTCAGAATCACATTTATCTGTTCCGCTCTTCGTTCCCTTCTGAGTCGTTTTCGTAGCTTCAAAGCTGTGCCGTGCGCCTAGACAGACCAGGCGAAAAGCGAGAGCTTCTGACGGGGAGTCCACCAGTGGTCAAATGAAAGGTACTCTACTCCCTCTCAGGAACCCGAACGCGCAAAAGATAGTCCGAGCACTTGACGATGTGACGTCACTTGATCCTCCAGAAGCTCGAGTGGCCATCACAGGAACGGAATGCTGGTGGTCGCCTTAAAACCGGGAACTTACCGAAAGCCCGTGATGTAGTCCATCTCGAGCGGGCTGACGTCATCGTCCACGTCATTTGTGAACGGAATCGGCACCTTTTCCTTCCCCCCCGAGATGTCTGCGTGGACAAGACGAGCGCCCACTCGGGAGTAGGCAGCCCAGGGCCGAGTCCCGCTCTTTTTGGGAGGGGCTTTGGTTCCAGGACTGCTGACGAGGGGCCTGCAACAGAGGATGACGAGCATGAGTCTCTGAAGATGCGGAGAGGCATGCAAGGTTTGGAAGCAGCCCCATCAGCTTGGAGTTCTTTCTCTTTCGAAGCCGCTTCCGAGAAAAATCTAGGACACCGGTTTGATAGAGCAGAACGATACTTGAACAAGTGAAATCATAGTAGAAGTGTCACGCATCAGCAGCCATTTTCGTGCCTCATGAAGGTTTACGAACGCCAGTTCTTGCCAAACTGACTCACACTCGCGTCTCGGATCACCAGGTCTACTCTTGCACTCACATGGTCGGCACTTGCCTTGAAGTCGAAGTCGGCTTTTCGAACAGCTTATATCTTTCAAGAATTCCGAGTCAACAATGGAAACCTTTTGAATCGAAGCGAGGCAATATAATCCTTCTTATTAAGAAAGTGCCGCAGCATACCCATCCTCAGCAGGACGCCCATTTGCACCGCACCTACTACCCTTCCCAAAGACTCAGTCAGGCCTGAAAGTTCAAACTGAACGCGATCACTCACCTTGTGGCAGGGCTTTGCGCATCCTTCTTCCCCGTGTACCGCTCCACGCAGCTGTCGCACTGGCAGAACCCCCAAGGCTCAGAAACCTCCACCGGCCCCATGTGCGCATCGCCCTCCCGTGACCTCTTCCCAAGAGCACCCTTCTCTTCCATAAGAACTCCGTTCGGCTGCGACACTGAGACGACGTCAGCTTCGCTGGCTTTGTTAACCTTGGAGCTCTCAGCCCCCGGCTCCAGCTCGTCTTCCGACACGCCCCCTCGATCCGTTTTTGCCTCCTCTAGTTGTTCTGAGTCACAGGCGAAGCACAGCCACGGAGCACCCCCCCGGATCGCTGCGAGCATCCGACCCCCCAGGAGGCGCTCCACGCACCGGTCGCACGCAGCGCAGGAGCAGCTCTCGCAGCGGCGGCGCTCGGAGGTGGGCGACTCGATGCCACACACCTGGCACAGCCGATCCCAGCCCCGGACGTCCTGCCAGGAGAAGCGCAATGCATTCAATGACGGTTGCATCAAGCGACGGGGGTATTAGGCTGATGCCCGCATCTCTCAAGCAAGTTTGCCAGGCTGCAGACATTCGGAAACGTGATATTCTCATGCATGTGGTGTTGGAGCAAGATGGGACTGAAGCCGACTCTTTGAATGGGTTTCAGCTTTTGTCGGGCCCAGCAGAGACACCAAAACAATTGAAAGAACATGGAGGGGTGGGCAAAACTTTCCCTCGAAGCTTTGCTGCTGAACTCCAAGCCCTTGGGTGCGATTTAAAGTGCTCTGGAGGGACGAGAACTTCAAGATTTGCAGTGGGTTTTGAATTAGCCGAACATACTTCACCAGCCGACTCATAGCCCACTGCCTGCCCGTCCAGTAAAGAAGAGAGTAGACGAGCAGACTCAGTCTCAAGAGCGCCGCTGACTCCTCGAATCCATGCTGCTTTCCAAGGAGAGGAGCGGAACCCCGTACACATTCACTGCCCAGAAAAGCAGCTTGCAACGTGGCACGCACCTTCCCACCATAATCTGCGGAGTCAATCGTCCGCGAGCAATCCTGGCACACCGCTACCGGCAGGCTTGGGTGCTGCCGCTGCTGGCTGCACTTTTGAGAGGCCCCGCACGCCGCACATGCAAACACCCGCTGCTCGCCTCTTCCAGACTCCGGATCACTCCCCGTCGGCTCTACAAGGCCCGGCCTGGGCCCCACCTGCACTTCCTTCGTCAATGCTGCGACCCCCTTCGCTTTGTCCTCTCTTTCACACCATTCTGCAGTACTCCCCGTTCGCTTCCTACCTTCCACTGGCGCAGCACTCCTTGGTGCCCCCGCGTTTTCCCCGAGCCGCTGATCAGCCTGTCCCCTCCCGGCCCCACTCTCTTTTGCGCTGGCGCAAGGCCTGAAGTGCTTCGAGAGGTGGCCATTCCGCGCCCGTGGCGTTGAAAACACCTTGCCGCAACCCGCCCAGCTGCAGGCGTGCACCTCAGGGCCCTTCCCATCTCGACTTGCTGAGGCCTTCACGCCTGAAGCACCAGGTTCTACCTTTGTCCGACGCTCTCCTAGGAGAGGGGACGTGGCCCTCTCTTCCAGCTGCTCTGTCCGATCGGTCTGCATTGCGACCGCTAGAGCAGCGTTCGTTTGACCCTCGCCCGCGCTCGAAGTACCTTCCTCTGCCGCCCCCAAGAAGTTCTGCCCTTCCCCTCGCCAATCAGCCCCGCTTGCCGTGCCTACGCCACCTTGACCGACGCCCACCGCTCCTGCTCTTGACATTTGCAGCCCGGCCGTATTTTCCCGCCCCTCCTGTCTGACCCTCGCTTGTTCGAACCTCCGCATGTCGCTCTTCGATCCCTCCAGCTGGGCTAAGTCGCACGAGAAGCAGAGCCAGGCGTCCAGGTCCGCAATTGCGCGCTGCTGTTCTGGCCCCAGCACCCGAGCAAGGCAGCGCTGGCACACCGTCTTGCAGCAGCCGTCGCAACGTGGCCGCACCTTCTCGCGCCGCCCGCACAGCTGGCAGTGCCGCTCGACGCCAGCCTTGCACTGCACCGCGAAAAAGAAAGGCCGCTTTGGTCGTTGGCAAAATTGATGATGAGAAGAAAGTTCTCGTCAATTTGAAGTGTGCCCTGTGGCCAATGGTTGCACCAATTCGGAAAGAAGCTTTTTAGGAAAGAGCGAGTAGAGTTCGAAAGAGAGGGCCTTTCCGTCGATGTCACGGACGTTCTGAGTCAGAGCAGCAAAGGAAAGGCTTGCTTTCCCCCCATCCTTCAAGTTCCTCGGCTTCTAGGATATCGATAGAATGAAGCGTTATCAGATCAACCCGCCCGAACGTTAAGTCTTCCGTATTCAGCGCCTAAGTAAGAGGAACTGGCAGAGAAATGCACAACTTAGAGGTATGAAACAGCTCTAACCAATATAAACGAGCAATCGGAACTGTTCCACAGCTCAAATTCTTCTTGAGTTTGCCCTACACAAGCTCGCACCGATAGCAACACGTATCGCCTTAACAAAGGACGTCGGCCTCAAACAATAAAAGAGCGGCCAATGATACTTGTTTTGCAGAGAAAGTAGTGCTTGTGTACACCCGTGCGGCTCACCCTGTCTGAGAAGTTTGCGGAGTTGAACGACTGCACGCACTCCTCGCACAACACCGCCGGCAGCGCAGGATGCCGCTTCATTTCAGAGAGTCCCCCCGCACCCCCGCATGCAGCACACGCAAACTCCGACGCCTCCTCATCTGCCTCCTGGCGCCCGTTTTCCGTCCATTCCCGGGCCTGGCCGCACGGGTCAGCTGCAGTGACGTCGTATGCGCTACCAGTCCCGTCCACCTCTATCCCTCGAGCTTTCGGCCCCTCCTCCGACCTCTTGGCTGCCTCCAAGTCCCCAACAGCCCCCGAGATTTCAGCGAGCTGCTTTTCTCCCACTTCCGTCACCTCGTCAGTTTGGACGTCAGAGCTGACGTCATCATACGTCGGCCCAAGCGGGTCCACCAGCTCGGTCCCTTCGTCCGACTCCTCGCCGGGCTCGACCGTGGGTTCTCTATAACCAGGCTCTAACTCACCCGCCAGGGCCTCGGCTAACAACACTGCAGCGGGCGACTCCACGTTTCCAGGCGCTTCCTGTCTTGTAGTTCCCCCAGCTTTTGACACTCCCCCAAGGAGGCGAGCAACCTCGGCAGCCCCTACTACTCGGCCCAATTGCCCCAAACCTCCAGGCGACCCTCGGTTGGAGAACCCTACCGTTGGCCCCAAAAGTTGCCCCGCCCCTTCCACTTCCCGCTCAAGGCGCCCGTTTCGTTCCCCGTTCACAACCCTTCTCTTTCCCTCCGACCCGTCGACCACCCTCTCCACCAGCCTCCTCATCACTCGGTGCACTTGCGGCGCCAGCTCGCTCACCAAAGCCAACAGCGCTGCGTCCAGCGAGACATCCTCAACAATGGCCGCCCGTTTGCTCTTACCAACGTCCTGTCGTTTCAACAGCATGTCCCTCTGCTTCTCCAACTGCGCCTCAATCGAAGGCAACTTCTTCTGCTTCGGGACGTCAGCCAAGATCGACATAAGCTCCCGGTTGCCCCTTTTCCTCCCCCGGTTACTCCCGCCGCCTAGGCTCTGCTTCTCAGGTTTGATCCTTGACACCTCTCTGCAAGAAGGGGAGAGCTCAGAGGCCGGCCTGCGGGGCTCCGAACTGTCCCTGCTCCGCTTTTGAGGAGACTCGCCGAATCCCCTCTCCGACCCCTCCCACTCTCCACTTTCCGTACCCCGCTCTTCAGCCTCCGAAACGTGCTTTCGTCCTTCCGTCTGATGAACAGCTGCCTGACCCCCTAAGTGGCGCACCGTACTCTTGCGGGCTTGCAGCGTCACTGGGGGCTTCACCACCGTGCGTTTCGTCCCTCCCGCTTTCTTCGAGCGTTTACTGGTGTCCGGTTGCGGCCGCTTCGGGCCGCTTCGGGACGCCGCCCAGGGAAGCTGCCTCGGGGGAGCAATTTCGCCCCTTCTGACTTGGCAATTGACATGGAAGTGGTCGGGGCATGCGACCGAGAGGCCGCTGTTCTCCAGACCGTCGTGCATGCGGCAGCCAGCCGCGAGCGCGCATGTGTAGTGGTACACGGAGTGACATGACGACTCGACGCGGCAGCGAGAGGTGGCGCCGACTTGGTTGCAGTACGTGCAGCGCTGTAACGTGAAAGCAAGTACTCGTCTTGTTGGGAACCACCTTGATAGGAACAGTAAGATTCTGCCTGGTTCTGAAGAAAATCAACACACATCAACACGGCAGTGTAACTTACGATTAAGGGTGCTAAAAAGACCGCAAACGCAATTGATGAACGACGGCTTTGCAAAGAAACCGGCTTGGACACCAGGTTGAACGACACGGAATCTGACGGACCATTTCAATTAGGAACCGGCTCTGGAGGGAAGCAAGTCGGACGGAGCTACCTCATGCCGAATCAACTTGGACGCTGACTTGTCAGCAACGAGGGAACTAGCAACGAGGGAACTAGCCTGGAGGGAGCTATGCTGGACAAACTTGTCTGGACGGAAGGAGCTCCAGCATATCCTTATATTGAAGCGGGACCAGACTGGGACGAAAATCGTCTTGAAGTCCTAAGCCAATTCGTACTAAAGCTGTCGGGAAACCATGTGGGTCAACACCATGTGGGTCAAACCGGCCCGCTTATAGTGTGTCTTGCTTTACCTCAAAAGTTTCTTGGCTGTCTGGCCGCAAATAGGGAAAGAAAGTTTCGCAAAGGACCCAGATTGGGGACTCGATCATACCGGACGAAGTAACTTCGACTTTGTGCATCTTGTTCACGCAAACGGAAAGCAACTATTTGTAGGTCGTTCTAGCAGGTTATACCAGCATTGGGGAAATTGAGGCGAAGTGCTGACGAACCGATGGTGAGTACGCTTGGACTACGCTCTTGCCACCGCCGCTCAAGACTTGGTGACAACTCAAATTTCTGACCGAACTCGCCAGTATCACACAATAATGCTGAACTTCCGTTCTTAGGATGAACCATTTCCGGTGCAACATCAACGGGTTCTTTTCTCTCAATGCGCTTCTTAATAGTTCTCACCACGGGCGAGCGCTTCTTTCCGCCGCTGTTCGGTGAGCCCGTCGAGTGGATGACCGCTTTGGTGAGCCCCACGAACGCCTCGCCGTCCCCGGGCTGGTACACGGAGGGCGTCCAAAATGCGCACAGCTGATGCACCACGGCCTTGGCGCCTGAGTACTTGGTGGCGAACATCCGCGACCTGGGACCAAGAAACGCAAGTGTGTCAGTATCAACTTAGGCCAAATCCGTCACGAGGCGTCTGCTGAATGGTGCACGCCGCAAAGTGGACATGACATGTGGATCCGCTGTGGGTCACCTCAAAGGAGTCCGGCAGTGAAGCCGAAGCACAAAGGAAGGAGAACACTGATAGAATCTTGGACCCTGAGGAGCAGGCCTCCGCTTGCATAGCGTTGTGGCTTTCGTAGGCAAGGATCAGTGGATTAACTTCACAAGTTTTTGACTGATTGAGCAGGCAATTATGAGTGGAGAGTTGGAGTCCGTTGGACAACGGTTGGCCACAGAAAGCGACGGCACTCAAGTTTGGCCGTAATGGTGACATTGCCTGCTTGCTGATCGTGATGGAACCCCAAAGAACAACATGGAAGGGGATGTTCGTCTCGTAACAAAGAGTTGATGTATGAGTTGGGGTAGTGAGCTTTCATGTCTGTCTAGTCTGCATGCTTCAAAGGTCAAATTGCCTCGCTAACTCGCTTCACAACCCAAGCAGCTTGCGCAACGGCGATATGCAGACTAAATACTGAGTGTCAGCTGTTGTACCCAAGCAGAAAAGAGGCGGATATGCTGTCAGTACCAAACAATGGAAGAACGCACATTTTCGACCACAATGGAAAGAAGAACAACATGACCGAAACTCCCCTCCTCGAAGTCCTCAAGTTTTGCTGGAATAAGATACATAAGCGAAATCGTTCGTTCTCATGAAACGAAACAACAAAACTGCCGGGGAAGATATGTGAGCGAGCTAGCGTGCCTCGGGGCAAAACGATGCAGACAGGGCCAGCTTGGTGCCCCTGACAACTCTGCACCAGCTGTCAGGGACTGCCCGTGAGACGGAACCAAGCGGAACGGACTAGATCGAGGCAACAAGAGGCCCGGCATAGAAAAGCCATGAGCGCCCCAGGACAAAATTAAGCAGCCGGTGACAAGCAGAAACAAGCTGCGTTCCAGGAGCAGATAGCGGGGCGTCTGCTCGCCGTACTAAGACCCTTTAACGACACATCACATGGCAAGACGGTATCCGCAGCGGGTTTCATAGCTGAGTCCGACTAAATCTTCGGGAAACGGCTGAAACTGCAGCCCACAAGACGGCATCAGCAGAAAAGGGACCGGACAAGACGAAGCAACGGAAACTCAAAGCAAAATTGTACATGCTAGCAGCCTTTCTAGACTCACTGACGGCCATTGTAAGGTCTGCTTCGAGAAACACAGACGGCTTTTTGCAGCGAAGCGACGCTGGAGAGAAGAGCCGTCTGCAATAAGGTAGTTTTAGCGTAGGGGTACCATGCCAAGGCGATATTAGTACTGGTTCGACCTTCGAAAAAGCAAACACACTGCGGAACTGATAGCACTGGTATGTCTTTGGATGTCAGAACAACCTTGCGCAAGCAATGGTACCGATACGACTTTCCGCGTCGCTTTCGCCACTTGGTGCGAGCCTGCTTGAACGTTTGTCTTGAGTTGACTTACACTTACGGACCGCTTCGGAGTCGAAGTCAAGGGCGAATAGCGCTTCACTATACGGCCAGTCAGATAAACCTTCTCTAGCTTCGAGAAGCTATCTCCAACCGACAGTATGCAGTGGAAGATCTCTTTTGCCGGTCTCATTACAGCAAAGTGATGGACGACGGAAGAAGTGGCGATAAGAAAACCGATGCAGCATAGCGGAAAGCGGACAAGCAGCGGAACAGCGATGACGGACGGACGTAGGCGCGGGCTTATGAAACAGGAGAACCACCGTAAGAACTCATGTTCGGACGGACGGAACGGCAGAGCGGAAAGACAGAGAAGATGGCAGCTCCCTGACGACACCACGACGAGAGGCTGAGTCCCTAAGACAGCTCGACCATCCTTAAAGCAGCGCGCGGAAGGCTGGGAAAAAACATAGTCACAAACGGTAGGACGGACGGACGGATGGACGAGGACGGGTTGAGGGAACTCTGGGCGGACGGGACAAGCAGAAAGGTGAGCGGACAGAAGGAAGGCACGACGGATGGACAGATCCGAGTGGCGCTGCTTCACAAGGCTCATTATATAGCAGCCAGGGACACAAAAGGGGGCTCAGAAGAGAATGGAGGATTGGCACGCGGCACATGGCACCACAAGCTCCTTCAACAGTCCTTGCCACAAACTGACGTGATCGTAACTTAGCGGCATCGGTAAGCTTGCAGAAAACGAGACCGCAAGCACAAGCAGAGAGACTCGGTACTGGCGACAAGCAAACTATCGCAAGGTGACTGACAGAGACGGTACCCAACGACTACGTTGCACGAGTTTTCCAACGGCTTTTGGACAGGCAGCTCGGACGGATGTGTATAAGTGCACAGAGACTAATTGGGCGCGGTATTAATTGCGCCATGCTCGTTGAAAACATTGCCATACGATCTACGTCAACAACTTCCTGCCGTTACGATACTCTGCTTAAGTGGACCTGTTTCACAGAGCGTCATGGCCCACTGGAAAAGGCACTAAGAAGTGAAACGCCGTTTGCAGCCCAGAGACCCAAGCACAGACGTATCCTCCCTGCTGCCAAATGCAAGGGCCCTGTGGAGACCACCGAGGACAAAATCCACAGCACAACAGCAACGCCGACGCACAGAAGCCGATTGTCGGGCCAGCCTCGTTGCCGTCGTCCTTGAATGGAAAAGATCCAGGAGAAGGGACGAAGATGCGCTATTTCCGCCCCTTTTGATATCAACACGCAACAACTCTCGAACCGGATTCAATGAAAACGGAAAAGGCTGGGCACAGAGGGAGCTTACTTGACGTGAGCTCTTAGCGGCCTGGTGCACGCGCACGCCTCGTCCCGTCTACCGCAGGTGGCGCAGTACCACTCGCCGCGCGTCCGCGAGGGACCCGCCCCGCACAGCGCGCAGCTTCGCCCGTCCCCCTTCGCCCCTTCCGCTCCCGGTAACTCCGGAATGACGACACCCTCAACCCACACGTCCGCCTTGGGGGATGGCTCCGCCACGTGGCCACTTGCCACTGGTTGCTCAATGATGCCAGTGGCCTGAACGACCGGCGCCGAGACGTCGTGGGTGACTGGGAGCGGTTTCAGTTGGTGAGCGTGGACGATGGCCCTATCGAGCCCGGTCCCGCTAACAATCTTCTGCCCTTTCCGGGCCGTCGATTCTAACAGCATGCCCGTTGCGCTCTCTCCCTGCTTGCATTCTGAGGCGGGACCTCTCTCAGCCTTAACCTCATTCGCTGCCTTTTGAACCCGCAGAGCCTTAAGCATCTTCAGTGGGACATCTTCGTCATCCTGGTGCCCCCGACTTTCTTCCAGCCCACTCCCCGCACCACCTTTGCCCAAGGCTTCCCCTTGCGACCTAGGCTTCAAAGCTTCGTCCTGTTTTATCTCCACAAGTTGCTTATGTACACATACAGTCTTTTCTACAAGATCCGCTGGGACTCGGAACCTGCTCGCACTTGCCTCTTCCTCTTCCCGCCTACTTGCCTCGACCTCCCCAGCCTTGCCTTGGCTGCCCCCCCAAACCGGAAGGCTTGACTCCCGGCCTACCCTGTGATACTCAGCTGACAACGTGCCAGCTTGCACGTCCCCCTTCGGCCACCTGTCACCGCTAGCGTCTCCAGCTACCCGTGCCACCTTCTTCGGTTGAGCGAAGGCCTGGTTCTGGTCGATCTCTAGCCACTCCACGCCCCGCTTCACCCCCCCACAGCTCTGTAAGCCGATACTCTTTTGGCCACATTCCTCTACGGCCCTGCCAAGACCCTCCTTGTTGGCGCTCCCCTGACAACACACCACCGCAAGTCATAAGCCTGCTTGATCGAACTTCGAGACCGCTTGAGTGTTCTTCTCAATATTGAAGAATCAAGCAAAGATACAAAGAAGGACATCAGAAAATTAATGAGTCCTGACAGGCTTCAGTTTTTCTGGTCCTTACACAATGTCTTGTTCCCAAACTTGGAACTAGAGGCGATCCGAAAAGTCTGGAAGGCCTACAAAACCGCCTACAAAACCCAGGATGATCTCTCTCAAGAAGGGCCAATCCAGCTTGATCGAGCCCTAACCTAAAGCAAGTGCCCTGTTTCCCGCAGGGCTTCCAAGTCACTGTTGCTTGTGACGTTGTTGACTGCCGGCCCAACGGTGAACACAAGTCGCACAAAGTGGAATTCCAACTCACCAGCGCTTTCTTTTGGTCGCTCTCAAACCCATCCGCATCCACCCCCGCTCTTGGCTCGCCCTTTTCGATTCTCCACGAAGCCGGAGGCTCATGTTGGTCCAGGCTCGCCCGTTCTGCAACCACGCCCCCCAAGTCCGAGCCACTTCTCTCCCCATCTCTCGTGCCAGCCTTGCCGGACTCTACGCCGCCCCACCCAAGCTGGAAGTTAGCCGCCCAATCGGCCCGCTTGAGATCCTTCGCAGGCATCTCCTCGAAACAGAGCCAGTATAGGGGGTGCGCTTGTAAAGCGTACAGCTGCTTTGCCACCGAGGGGGGCGCAAAGTCCGCGGGGCTTGTCTGCGTTTCTTTATCTGCTATCTCCCAGGGCTGTTTCGGGCTGCTCAGGGGGGGCTGCTTGAGGCTGAGAAAGCTGGAAAGGGGTACGTTTTGTGTTGCTGGTCGAAAGAGCGCCTCAAACCTTTCAGCATTTCCGGGGGGCCTTGGCTCATCAGGGAATGCACTTCTCTCGGTAGCAGCCATGATTGGCTCGTCCTCCTGCTTCGGCGACCCTGCCTTCGTAACTACATGAGAACAGGGCGAGGTTTGGGCCAAGGAAGGAGGGCACCCAGTGTGCTCCTCGGTAGGCTCTGCCCCAAGCTTTTCCAGAAGGTTCAACTCTTGCCTTGGGGAACCAGTTTCCATTATTTGACCGAACAGCGTCAGCACTGGCGGCTTTCGTTGCTCTTGCAAGTCGGACAGCGACCCCAAGTGGACAACCCCTGACCCGGACTCGCTAGCCACCGCTCCAAACCTTTGTTGCTCTCCGCCGCTTTCCTGTCTCTCCCTACTTGAAAACGAACCACCATCCGGTGGCGTCCTCTCATTGTCGTGACCCGGCTCCTGTATGACCGAAGTTTTCTTCAGTCGTTCGCGCTCAATAGCCTCCACTAGCGTCAGGCCCTTCTTCCTGAGCTCCCCAGCAGGCCCAACCTTCTCATCAATCTGTAGACTCAACCGGTCAACTTTTTTCTCGTCGCTTTCTCTCCGAGCCTCTCGCCTCGTACCCGATCTGCCTTCCCCTCTGATGACCTCGTCCTTTCCATACTTAGCCTGACCCTTACTCTTGCCTCGGCTTCCAACATCGCCTCGCCCCCGCTGCTCACTTGCCTCTGGCACATCTCTTAAAGTTTGTACGCTCTCCGCCCCGCTGCGCATCCCCTCCCTCTCCTCTGTTTCTGTGAGGCTTCTCGAGTTCCGATCCCTGCCCTTCCAGCTTCCTCTCTCCCACGCCTTATCCTTTCGGGGTGACTTACTCCGCGGTGTCGAGGACGAAACCTCAACCCGCCTCTCTTGCCCCCTTCTCCCGCTCGCTTCGTCTCGTTCCTTGTCCCGCCTTCTCTCTCTTGGCGATTCGCTTCTCCGCCGCTTCAAGGCCCGCACCTTCCGACCATCTCCCAACTCCCCCGATGCCCGGTCGGCGCTCTCTTTCCTTTGGCCCCCCTCTTGCACTCCCGTTCTCCCCTCTGCTCCGCTAGCCGACTCTCGCAGCTGCCTTTCGCTGCCGTACCCTGGAGAACGAGGATTCTTTTCCGCACTCCGTTGCCGCCCAGCAACCACCAAGTGACCCCCTCGACGCCCACTTCCCCAGTCTCTTGGACTCCTCTCCATGCTCCGACCCCTGCCGTCGACCCAGGCATGCCTGGAGTCGCGCTCCCACATTTGACCGTCGCCTCTGCCTCCCTCAAAAGGGAACGGACCACGCTCTCGTGAAAGAGACCCCCTAACATTCGGCAGCCCCCGATCCGGCAGCCCCCAATCAGAGGACTCTCGCTCCCATGGGGGTGGTTCAACTCTTGGGTACGAGAGCGCAAGGTGGTCAAAGCCAAATAGTCCATTTGGTAAGCGCACAATAGGGCCAAGACCCTCGCTTGAAAAAGGGGGTGGCGCCAAGGTAGGGGGGCCATGAGGGAGAGGGGCTACCCTATCATACACGGAGCCCCCTACAACTCCGGGTGGCAGGTTTCCAATCGCTCTATCCATGGCCGTGCTTCAAGGGGCCTGCGAAGTGGCTCAAAATGCCCCCATTGCCTGCGAGACGACGCCAGAGAAAGTATTGCTTTGAAACTTGTAATGCTGTGTTACAAAGAAGAAGAGGGTGTCGCCAGCCAGACTCCAAGTATGGAGCTCCTTCACAGACATTGGCGAATCAGCTATTTGTGACTGTTCAGATTAGGCTGAGGGTGTCTCTGCAGCAAAGGAGACAGAAGTGCACCAGAACGACCGCAATGTTGCAGGATGCTATTAAACAAAGCAAATGCTGCAAGGGCAGAATAGTTTGAGCACTTTGTCAAGAGGAATTCATAGACCTGCAAATTCTGGTCAGACGATCTCACACATTGAACCACGCAATGAGTAGCATCTTCAGAGCTTACAGCCGGCAGGTGAAACACGATAATAACCCACCTTCCTTCCTAGACGGAATGCCGACAGCAAGAAGTTGTCTCAATCCACTATAGGAAAGTCAAGCCACAATGTTGAGCAAGCTCTGAAGCTGCCAGGTGGCTGCATAGATTACAACCAGCTACCGCTCTTTCATGTTGGGCTTCTGCAAAGTTGCCTTGACGCAGCGATCTCTTGAACATAGCTGAGTCCGTCTCGGGGAACATAAGTGGCACAGCCACCTGGAGACGCCAGCTTCGAGGAGGCTGCGCTGCATCTCTTACCATTGATGCCTGTGTCAACCTTCAGGATAGCAGGACCAGCCTCAGGCTTCGGCTCATCATTGCTGGACCTCCTAGGATTGCAAATCCTGGTTCAAAAGTGCCCATGACTCGATCAGGGCAGCGAGCTCAGCCTTCAGAACCTCTCTTCTGTGCCTAGCTGGATCTCCGTATGATCCGAATTATGTAGGCTACATGCACTGTTCATAGCGCGTTACAGCAGAAGCTCGACTCCGACAGGTAGCGCGGAGCTGGGAGAGAAGATGGAGAGGGATGTAACACCTGCTGCTGATCAAATTAAAATTGCCTTGCAACTTGTTTGCCTGGTATTAGTAAAGTCTTCATTGCCTGCTCTTTAATTTTTCAAGTCTTTCTTTTGTCCAGATGGTGGCGCAGCGTTGTCCCAGCTATGTCTTTTTTGTCAGCTAGAGCGCGGTAAGGAGCTTTCTCTTTACATCGTAGCCCTAGCTATAGCTGTCAATGGCATTCCAATGGCAGTCTGAAAGGGTAAATTCTTGAATTCATTGCTTTTGATTCGGTGGCTGTGCTTCCCTGGAACCACAAGGGAAGGGGCAGGGTTTGCTCTCAAAAGTTTCGCCTTCCAAAAATTGAATGAAGGCCTGAAAGCTTGCCAGCAGGGTACTTACCTTGCAATAGAACGATGTTGTTGATGCTTATTGTGAAAGCATTGCCGTACACACTGTGTTTCACAATCTGTTGTACAGATCTTGTGCTACTTGTGCAGTAATATTGGGTTTGAAAAGGGCCTTGCATCGCTGATGACCACGGGTTTGGAAAGCAGAGACGACCAAGTGAGAACACTAATTGAGAACCTAGTCTATTCTGCAGGCAATTGTTGCTGATTGAAGCGCGCCACCAGTACCCTGCTCATCTTTGGACGGTCTGAGAAGCAGGCCCAGCGGCTTCTGGACTTCACTGATTGCTTGCACGCGTTTTGCAAACGCAGTCAAGGGTGCCCGATAAGTCAAAAGCACGGACGGACTTGTTTTGTGCCGTCGATTCAGCACTTGTTCAACTTCAGACCCCAAGATTTACTCTCTGTTGAAAACGAAGATTTGGCGGCAGAAGCTTAGACGGCCATATCTAGAGGTCCAGTTTATGCCTCAGGGCTCTTTGGAGGTTTCACGTTTGGCAAGGCCATTTTCTTGAGTGCAAACAAGAGTTGCCGCTGAGGCCTTTTTCTTGAGAGCAAACAAGAGTCGCCAGATCCTAGTCAATGAGCTAGCACCCGGCAAAGGCAAGCTTTCTTCGTGATGCATCTCCTGCCCTCGTACCCCACTCGGTAACTTAAGTCAAAGCCAGGCCCCCAGCATGGCACCCCGTAAGGACCGCGTGTCCTACTTCTTTGATGCTGACGTCGGCAGCGTCTACTATGGTCCCAACCACCCCATGAAACCGCACCGCCTGTGCATGGCACACAGTCTAATTCTGGGATATGGACTGCACGAGAAGCTGGAGGTATACCGGCCCCACAAGGCGTACCCGCAGGAGTTCGCGCAATTCCATTCCACAGATTATGTGGAATTTCTGCACCGGATCACGCCCGAGATGACGGACTACTACAAGGACCAGCTGGTGCGATGTGAGTTTATCTGACTGTTCGACCAGGACATGCTGACTTGGCAACTTTGCTTTGGTCGTTTTCTGCGGAGCGTTCGTTATGATGTTGCGGTGCTGTGGGTTTTATCTTAAGGCTTTTTCTCTGCCAATTTCTGGCGGAGATTTTTGAATCCTGAAATACCATCTGCTCTCATTGGTGTTACTCTGCTGGATATATAGGTGGTCATCAGGCTTCTTGGCTGGGGGGGTGGTAAGAGTGCTCCGCTTGACTAATTCAGCACCGGGGCCGTTCTTGTCTCTTAAGTGGAAAAGAAGCATTCTCAGAGGAGGACAGCGGAGATGAAAAGTTGCTGGCGTTGATCATGAAAGGAGTCAACGGCAGGAGTGAACACTTGGCAAAGTATCAGCATAGGCGGCAGTTCATCATGTTTTGACTTTGCCTGGTGAATAGAAACGGATCAGGTGATCTCTGTAGGTGTGAAGGAGGACTTGAGGGGTGCAGCGCTTCGATCTTGTGGGGAAACTGGCTTCAATTGCTGGGTATATTCATCTTTGAGTACTCGAAATTCAAAGCAGGTCGTTCTGCGAAGCTTTACAGCGGGGGTCTCCTGATTCTTGCTTGCTATGGTGCCTGCAGACAACATGGGCGAGGACTGTCCCGTGTTTGACGGCCTCATCGACTTCTGCAAGATTTACACGGGGGGCACCATTGACGGCGCGGTGCGGTTGAACCATGGCCTGTGCGACATTGCGATCAACTGGTCCGGCGGGTTGCATCATGCCAAGAAGCAGGAGGCCAGCGGGTTTTGTTACATCAACGATCTTGTGCTGGGCATCCTGGAGCTGCTCAAGTACCACGCCCGCGTTTTGTACATAGACATTGACATTCATCATGGGGACGGGGTTGAGGAGGCGTTCTACATGACAGATAGGTGAGAGGTTGGGTAAGGGGTTACTGTGGCATGAGGAATCTCGTGCTGAAGCATCTGTGATTGACTACCTTTCTCAGTAGAAGACTGAGAAACTGGCTTGAGTGTTCGAGAAGACTTCATTACAGGATAGGTCGTAAGTAACCAAGAAGGCAGATCTGCGATTGTTCAACAGGCACTGCGGTTTTCTGTTGAAGACCTCTCTGAAGACCGTTCTGTGAACAGGTTTGCTCCGTGCGATGCCCCTGGTTTTGGATCACTGCCAATCGCTTCTTGCAAAGACGACTCAATGTCACCAACTACGAAGGGTCAAGTTACCCCAACTCCACAGACAAGCCTTGGAACTCATCCTTGATCAATCAACATCGCAGGGTAATGACCGTGAGCTTCCACAAGTACGGCGACTACTTCTTCCCTGGGACGGGGGACGTCAAAGATATTGGCGAGAGGGATGGCAAGTTCTACGCCGTCAACGTGCCGTTCAAGGACGGCATTGACGATGCTGGCTTCCATAAGCTATTCAAACCGGTAAGTCTCTTAGCCATGTTCTGTCAGAACCGGAGGAGGGAGAACGTGGACTTCCGTTGCCGTTTCCGGGACTTTGCCTTGGTTATCACCCCTGCATGATGCTGCAATCAACGGTGGGCAGGCGTCGAGCATGCAACTTCCGGCCGTCGAAAGAGGTATGATAGCTAAGGCGGGGTCAGATTCGACGACGGAGTTCATCCATCTTCAGGGTTCTGTCAGCCTAACACGGCTCTCTGTCATTAAGGCCCATCGTCTGTAGCCGAAAGGAAAGAGACGGCTAGAAAGGCACCTTCCGGATCTCGTGGACGTCGCACTCAACCTCGTTCATCAACGCATCCGCTTTTCAAGAGCTTCAAAAGATGCGACTGGTCAAAAGGCAGTCTAGCTGGTTTAGCAGTAGCATAAGGATTACGTGGGCCTTCTGCAGCCTTGTTCCTATCATTTCAATGACTTGCTGGTGTTTTCCCCTAGGTAATGACCAAGGTGATGGAGATTTTCCAGCCGGGCGCAGTCGTTTTGCAGTGCGGGGCAGACTCGCTCGCGGGGGACCGCCTCGGTTGCTTCAACCTCTCCATCGACGGTCACGCAGGTGTGGCATCGCGCACCCTCCGCTTTCTACTTGCTTCGTGTCTAAGTTTCAAGTCGACTCTGCCGTTTGTATTTGTTCTTTCTTTGCGTGTCTTCGCTGGTAACCAGGTGCTTCCCACCACACCGGGGTCGAGTTGCGATAGGACGAGTTCCAGACGTCGTCAAGCAACTGTCTCGCTTGTTCCCGCTTCTATCAGGTTCTGTTCAGTCGCATCCCTGTACTGCCCTTTCATGGGCTTTTCAAAGGCCTCCTGAGTCCTGTAAGACGCTTACCACCATGCTTGCAGCGACGGCTCATGTGCAATGTGCATTGGGCCTCCGAAAAATGGCTTCTCATTGACGGTTGATTTGAACACGTTGCTGCCGCTATTTCGACAGAAGTTTGTCCACCCCAGCCGCTGACTGCTCCTTTGGCGTGCAGAGTGCGTCAAGTTTATGAAGAAGTTCGCCGTCCCGCTGCTGGTGACGGGCGGCGGCGGGTACACGAAGCAGAACGTGGCGCGCGCCTGGACGTACGAGACGGCGGTCCTGCTGGACGCGCAGCTCCCCAACGAGCTGCCCGTCACCGAGTACTACGAGTACTTCCGCCCCGACTACCTGCTCAAGCCGCCCGTCAACACGCTCATCGTGAGGCCCGCGGACTTTGTCGCACTTCTGCCTCTATTCCCCCGCTGTCTTCCTTCTTTTTCAGCTATACTTCGTCCCCTTTCTACTCCGAATGATCTGTTGGCCCATCTTTTCTTCGTCGGGTGTTCATCTTTAGTGAACTTCTGTAGCATCTTCTGCTTGTCTTCCTGACTGATCGCACTGATGTCTTTGTCGTACCTTCCCTTCGACACGGTCCCTTATCGTCGGCCCACTATGGAATGCCTTTCTCTCGAAAAGGAGATGACGGCCATTCTAGTCAGAAAAGTCTGATGATTGTTCCCTTCATAGGGGTAGCGGTAGATATTCAAGGCGTCCTCGAAGTGTCGAAATCTCCAGGATGGATAACAGCTTGGAGCAAACATCCTCGAAATTTTTTTCACCCTGACACATTGCATAGCCTTCTTAACGCATCCGATGCTCGAACCCCTTGCAGAACCTTCTCAAATTCTTCCAGAACCTCGGCTACGCGCTCGAAAATCAGACCTCGGCATTGCGACGTCTGTCTTCGCTAGCCTTCTAACCCTCTTGGGGTTCGCCCATCCCCAATCCCCTTTGCCTTCTCGAATTGGACTTATTAGACCGTTCTCGTTCGCTCGCTGCGTGCAGGACAACGGCAACGCCAAGTCGTACCTGCAGGCCATCAAGAACACCATCATGGAGAACCTGCGCGCAATTGTGCACGCGCCCAGCGTGCAGATGCACGAGGTGCCGCCCGACTCGTACATTCCCGAGGTCGACCAGGACGACCTTACCAGCCCCGACGAGCGCTTCTCGCGTACGCAACTTCGCAACTCGAGTTTCCTTTTTCTTTGGCATCCTGTGATCTGTCGCCTCTTTCTGTGTTAAAAAAGTGAATGGGTGTACACCAGTTTCAGATGAGGACTTTTGACGGGGACTGCAATGGCGGATGTTCTTACCAACGATCGTACAAGGAACGTTTGCACAAGTCAGCTTCCACATCCTTGGAAGCCAAAGCTGTGCCTTGAAACGGGCAGAAAGGGATGCTGCTGTTGAGTTTGTTACGTACACTGCAGCAGCTTTATGGAGGCTGTGGCTTTGCTACATCTACTTTCAGCTAAATGCCTGTACGTGTTTACGTGTTTCCCGCTTTGCGAAAACCAGGCTGTTGCACCCCCTCTCGTGCTCAATCGCTACAGAAGCCGCATCCAGCTCATGCACGGCCAGCCCGTGAACTATGGACTCTGGCGGCAGACTCAAGGCTCACTTTTAGGACAACGATATTCCTAGCTTTACGTAGGCTCGAATTTGTTCGGTCGAGACACAGAGATCTTGTTCAACATTCAGTTGCAATCCTTGTTGGACACTCACCATTTTTGTCCTGTTCTCTGCAGAGTTTCAGAAGGACAAGATGGTAGCTAGAGACGATGAGTACTACGAGGATGAGTACGATCAGGACCATGATACAGAGGAGCCCAGAAGACATGCTTGATCGTGAGGCCCTTGTTTCCCTAGCTAAGCGAGCTCGGGAAACATTGACTTCCAGTTGATCTCTCACATCGCCGTCTAATAATCGTGCTGTTCTTTTTGGGGCTGTGCTGCCATATCGAACTTGTCAGGATAATCAGCGCAGTGATGCTTCGAAAGCATACATAGTGCCTTTCCGGTCGGAACCCTTTCCATAGTGGGTGTACATCACGCGTTGTCAGCATGCCCCTCTCTGAAGGGTGGGTATGGTTGTACAGTCCCAATTCAATGCTCGGTTCATTCATTACGGATTTGGATGGTCGAAAAGAGACCAAAAAATCTTGAATTTCGCTCTCCAAAATTTATATGACGCTGCAATGCCGCCTAGGGGCCGCAGATCGACTATTTCGTGGCATGCATGGGTATAAGACTTAGAAATATATATTGAATCCGACGAACTTCGCATATAATATGTCGCTAGTCGGCCATCTTGCATGCATGAGAGCTGGCCGCGTGCAATCGTCATTACGATCGAATCGGATATAAGCAGCCGCCCCCGGGCCTGGTACAGATCGACCGCACATAAAGCTTGCAAATTGCAATATCTTCATGTGCAATGATGTACGACCACGAATCAACATGCAGAGTCAAAAGTAGAGGGGTTATAAACCAACTCCAGTAGCTCCGAGCTGCTAGATATGGCAACCGTCTCGATCCAAATAACAGGGTCACCGCACTGATACTTGGCAACTTGTTTTGCATGGTTGATCTTCATCATAATAAGAAGTATCCATCTTCCAAGGGGAAGCTTTGCTGCAATCTTTAGTCGGAAGTTTCATTCAACAGTACCCCCCACTTCTTACTTTAGCCTTGATTCACCAAGATTTGGCAGGCTGGTCGCCATTTGATGTCGAACTCAATCGAAGCCGTTGTCATAGTCGTAGCTACCTGGTGGAGGCTCGGGACCAAATGTGTCCCACGGTGACTCGATGAAGTAGAATTTGCGGACGCGATTGCGGAGTATGGGCACCTGGGAACAGGAGTTGGGCGGCATCTTAGTTGCAGTGGCTCTTTGAAAGGAGAAATATGAGCGAGGCGTACATAAGACTAGTCAGAAAGAAGTCATTATGCACTCGAGATACTGACGCATTGGCCGAAGCACAAGGTGCTGACGCTTCCCTTCGACCACAGCAAGAGAGTTGCAAACAAACCAGTCAAGGCCTGCGACAGCCACATTAAGAGGTCAGTGCAACTACACCAGACATGCTCTCCGAAACTAGGAGGACACCCTATTTCTTCTGTCAACCTCCGATGCTGACGAGAACTCAGGTAGACAACGGATCCAAAAGACCATCTCTTTCCAACGCTGCCCTTCTTGCCACAGGAATTTATTGATTTCTGGATATTAAGAGCATACAACAGACACACGAAAGCACAAAACGGCGGACGACTAGAGAAATTGTGCGACGAAAGGTCACCTGCTCCCACTGGAGCCCCGCCCTAATCTTTTCGAGCCTCGTCGCGTTGCGCCCGCCGTCTGGCTGCTCGCGGGCGCGGGAAGCTGCGTGGATTTGGACTATGCGGTCCGATGCAGAATCGCTAAAGAGCCACTCAACGTCGTCTATGACACCGTCTTCATCTACGAATGTCGCATAGACATACCTGTGAGCGGTGATGTGGTGGAACGGCTTTAGCGACATATGCAGCGTACTTGGAGCAACAAACGTCACTCGAATCGACTCTGGGTTCCATGCGTGAAACTTGATCAGAAGAACCTCGAGAGTCTCTGACTTGAGACAATCCAGGAGGTGATTAGGTAAGGCCACAGTTCAGCGACTTCGGAAGATTCAGCACTGTCCAGAGTTCGTGGATTGTGTAACAGGAATGCGTACGGTTAATGCAGAAGATACTCTCAAGATTCTTTCGAAAGCAGCTCTGCAGGAATCCCGGATAACCAAGAGCTTTTGTAAGAGCTTTTGTAAGATATGGAGACAGGCCTGTCAGGCGGTTAGCGAAGTTGAAGGTGACAGAATCCCCTGGTGCTGAACATAAACGCCCTGCAACGGACTGATACTCAATGTCTCACTCTCCACGTTTTACCGTTTCCTAGCAATACGAGTACGACCACTTTCCATCGTGGTCGTGGTCCTACCAAGCTCTTGGTGGGGCCAAACTGCAACGAGGCAGAGGGGAAGGGGCAGGGCAAGCGCACCGCGTGATGGACCTACTTTTGCTGCGCCTCATTCACGGTGCCCCCTAGTCGCTCGATCTGCTGTTCCAAAGTGCGGACCGCTTCAGGGAGGCTGGCTGGATACTCCCAGGGTGCGCAAAAGAAGGGAGGTCTGCACACGTCTGCGGAAAGGGTTGACTCATTTGATTGGCAACCCTTGATGCCCGGAAGAGATCTAGATGCCACCGTACATCACAACATATCTTTCTTTCAAACCACATTTGCAGTGGCCTTTTCACGAGTACAGGGCAGGGCTGCTGGCCGAATTTGCGGTCAGGCTTCGACAGAGTTCCGCTGATAAAAAGGTCTTAAGCAGAAATGCACCTGCTGAAAACGAACTGCGAACCCATTACCTTCATATCGGAGGGATCACTTTACAATTGGCGAGCCGGGTTAGGACCGGATTAAAGGATCTTGAAAACGGCGACGAACAGCGACAACATGTAAATGGTGATAGACAAGAAGAAAGTTGGCAGATAACCTCACCTGTCATCGAATGAAGACACACAATTTGTTATTGAACCGCAACTGCAAGGCAAAGGGCAGTATATGGTAACGAGATTCCGATTTGCCTTCGATATAGACCCCTGATCATCTTGACTTCAGCGGCCACCAAACATCGACCATACTGATTCCAAATTGCTTTGATGTGCTCGAGTTCTGGATCTTGAAGTCTCTTGTGGTCTAACAAAGCTGATGCATGGTCATTAGACTTTCGCAGATGTGAATGTGGGTTTTTATCACTCCACAGATCAAACGAACATGCTATGCTCTTTTTTGTGAGCAGCTGACCATGCCAAGGAAATGGGCTTCAAACTCTCTATACGCTTATGTAAGGCCCCAGCAGATCAGGAAATGCCAAGAGGTCAGGGCCTGGATTTTCCCCTCACCTGGCTAGCGTGTCGTCTACAACTCCAATACCTGCGATGATAGACGGCTTTGCATTTCAGTTGCATGGTTGAGATCCTGACAGCAAGATCCACAAATGCTGGGCCCTTTAGTAATCTGGTTGCTGCAGAGGCATAGCCTATGGAAATTGCTCTGCCATCACTGGCAGCAGTCCCCCCCGCGTTTGTGAAGCCAAAAACTTGACCGCAACACCGGAATCATGGTCTCTGGACTCTGGAGGATTCATACGTCAGTGCCAGTCAGGCCAATACTGAGGTCAGGCGAACACTTCACACTGCAGACAGCTGGTCAACTTTCTCGATTGGCCGAATTCATCCAGATGGTAAGAAGTCAATGGAGTCAAGCTCGAATGGATCCCCAGATTGTGGAATCTTATCCAGAGCTTTGCTCCAAAAATAGGACGGGGCCATCCTCCAGATACTCACATGTTGCACAAGTGCCTTCGGACGGAGCAGTTTGAACCGCAGGGGTGGACCAAGGCAGCCCCCAGCCGGCTGCACTCGCAGGGCCCGGCCATTGCAACCTCGACCAGTCAGCCAAGGCTCCACCAAGCAGCCAGGACAAAAACTGTCTTCGGCCTTGACCCTCCTTTTCAGTTCTTAGCAATCTCTTTTGTCGCTTGTCCTTTGGTTCTTCAGGCGTGGTCACATCAGAGACGGCATTCTTTTGTAACATTGCAGTCGATCTGTCGCACACTGGCGGCGTATGTTGTGACAAACTGCAGCGCCTCGTTGGCCTGCTTCTTGGTTGATGCATACCACCATCTGCATCAGCCCCCTTGGTATTTGAAATTGTTGAACGCAACCTGGAAGCGGACTTTTCCCAACCTTGTTTCTTACCACTAAGGCCACTCGCGCTGCGATTGATACAAGCAGTGTTCACGCTGTGATAACAACTTAGTGACATGTTTGATGGCCAGCTATTTCGCAATCAGAGAAGGCTGCTTGAAGATGGCCTACTCGATGCCCTGAAGCCAGCCTACAAAGCGCCACCCAGCTGACCCCCAGCAGATGCCCGCTTCGATGAATGCTACAGTGGTTCCTTCCACGTCAGACGACAATTGAAGCTCACGATCAGCTGGTGTGATCTTCAGCCGTTTGCAATCTTGGAAGAAGCCTCAGTGAATATTAGAAATTAGAATGCAGCCATGATCACGAGCATCCTGCACGAAGAACAACCGGTTGAAGTTGAAGTTGAACTACGGTAGTTTGAAGAGCTGGAGCTAGCTGGAGCGGGCTGCGCGCGCGGTCACGTCTTGGATTTCAGTTCCATTTTTCCTCACTGCTGACATCAACAACTAATACATAGACTGCATAGAAGCCCTACCATTGGCGGCTGGTGCATGTATTTTGGACCGAGGTTGGACAGGGTCAGCTGGCAAAGTGCATCATGCAATACTAGAATGATGATCAACAATGGAGCACTAGTACTAGTAGTAGAACGGCGCGCTGAAAGAGCGCTGCACACTGGTCCTGCAGTCTCTGATCAGCACAATGCAGCTAGCTGCTCTCGATACGGTTTGCTGTGATTTGTATGCTGGTCATTGACTTACAGCATTCCAGCATTCTAAATTTGCATAGGTCTTATGATGCAGCATGAACGAGATTGTTAACTTTTTGCGGGGCCACACCAAAGTGGTGTGTGATGCTTGAGCAGGTTAGCACAAGCGCAGGGCATTCTCAGCTGTTCCATAAGAATTGGCTGCAGCACTGCTTGCAGCCCTGCCAGAAGCTGAAGCCAGCGCACACCAATTGCACTCTCAGAAGCCACTTGGGTGAGTCGTCTTGGACATTCAATGCCCTTCGAGCACAAATTTCATTTGGAGCTGCACTTTTGAGGATTTGGGGATCGCCAAATGTAATTGACCATTCCGTACTGAGCTTTCTGTCTTCCAGCCCATCTGGTTAAGAAACAGAGAAGAAATGCTCCGCGGCTGAGGTGAACTTGTGCCCAGTCAGGCTCCGGGGAGGACCTTCAATTCGGTGGTGGATGATAGAAGTGACCCAGAACACGTTAGTTCTGTAGCTTTTATTTGGACATGTTTCTTGCTTGTCCTGTTGGTCTTCTCCTGTTCCAGCTATTACTGCACCCTTCTACCTCGAAAGAGCTGTTCTGCAACTTTTGTAGGATAACTTTCAGTGCCCACTTCAAAGACCCCAATGGCCTGGTCCTGCGCCGTCGATCATACCTTGGATTAGTAGTGTCTGCTGTCTTCCTCAGGATTTCCCCCCTTTTATACCTTTTTGGTTACATGCAACCAGCAATCTGTCAGATTCCAAGCATTGCAGAACGCTTGTACCAGAAAGCTTTACAAAATGATTCATTGATAGCAACCTCTGCGGTGGCGTATCTGGCATCTTTTTAATTCTCCTCGTCCTCTGCGTTCCCTTTCCTTTTTTGGAGTGTCCTGACTGCATTGATTGAACCTTTGTCCGACCTCTGAGCATTGTGCACTGGTCTACCTTTCGCTCTTCCAAGGCAGAACGTTGATGATCGTTCCAGCGACCTTACTCGCGGAATGAGCTCAACACAAATCTCCCACCTTTCTGACACCTTCGCATCGGAAAACTTCTTTTGAGCAGTTTTCACACTCGAACTTGCTTCAAGAGCTGCAAGACAGATCCGGTGTAGTGCCTCCTTCTAGTCAGTGACCTCATCTCACCCTCTTGTTGCAAAATCAGTACGTTGTAATCTTCAGATGAAGATCCAATTTAATGAAACGGCTTTCTCTCAGCCAAGTCCCTTGGATCAACCTTGATGACCCTTTTCGTGGCGCAGGTCCCCCTCCCCTGGACACACCTCCTGCCATCGTCATCCACATGCCATGTATCAGAATCAGCGCCCCTGACATCGCAACACAGATTCTCACAACAACTGCAGTCCCACCAGACGTCCAATCGCACGGTAAGTTCTTGCTCACCTTGAATTAAAGGTCCAAGCGATGTTTCTTTTTGAATCTGGGCTGCGACTGGGGTTATGTCCTGCTATTGATTAGAGACACGACCTCTACAATCGCTGGCGTATGGAGGTGCTAGGCGTCCGATTTGAGCTCACGCTTGCAGACGCATGAATATTCCAGGTGCTTTTCTAAGCCAAACTAAGTCGGGTCTGCACTGAGCCGTCAGACCCTTGGTCAGGGACTGCCAGGCTCCCAGTGGGCTCCGCTTGTGCATGTACTTCTTCTCAAAGGTCCTTTCTGCTAGCTCTCTAGACTTCCTGGCCATTGAATTCAGAAGTATGAATGCCTGTAGGACAAGTTAGGGTTGAAAAGCGAGTTCGTGAGACCATTCTCTTTCTTGATCGTTTTCCAGGGCCCTCAAAAACCGCACGTCTTGTTTATGCAAGCCCGGCTTATTCAGGAGTGGTGGGGATTTGGCACACTCCATACCATTTCCCTACTCCCTGTTTGATACACTTTTAATCTCATGCTATCCATTGGCTCAAGCAGACTCACTTTCAGCGATGACACCTGTGCAATTTGTCTGTCTGCTCGCAGCAGAGATGAAGGTCGAAAACCTGCGGAAGCTGGCGCAAGTCATTATCATTCGTCATGGAGAGAAGGACGAAAAAAACGATCCGGTTCATCTTGACGGAGCGGGCATGGTCAGGGCGGTTAAGCTCCCGGACTTCTTGCTGGATACGCAATCGCCTTGGAAGCGGCCTGACGTCATCTACGCAATGAAGCAGCACGATGCGGGCAGCAGCCGGCGACCGCTGGAGACGGTCTTATCGCTGGCGGACCGCCTCGGCTTGACCGTGAAAGAAGGTAACTTACGCATACCACGTAAGGACACGGATTTGCTTAAGGATTCGTTGAAAGGGGCACGATTGTCGATCCCATGTCACCGACGAATGTTGTCTAATCTACTGATAGGATTACGGCTTCGGGGTTTTGCTTCTAGGATCCCTTTCAGCGTCAACGGACAACTTCTTCTTCGCAACTCTGGATTCTTCTTTGATGGTTTTTCGAGCGCCATAAGGTGGATCGAACATGTCTCCGGAAACAGGATCTAAACATCTGGATCCTCTTTTTGGCGTGAGCTCAGACGCTTTGAGCAGCGCCCAAAAGTTCCACTCATCCCGACCGCCACTGACAGTGCTTGTCTCCTTACTTGCAGGCAAGGTCAATGACACAAAGACGTTCTATAACAACTTCACCAGGAAGGAGTGGGAGAAGTTGGTCGAGTCGATCTTGGACGGGACCCACGAGGGGAAGACGGTCCTCGTCTGCTGGGAGCACAAGCTCGAAGTTGACATTGCGAATCACCTGGGCATTCCCGTGAAAGGTAATGCTCTGCTGAGAACACATAAGCTTCAACATACAGGATACATTGTTTGGGAAAGGCTGTGGAATAATAGCACCTCAAAAGAGCTCTTTGGGGGCGTCAACTCACGAGGTTTTTCTGGTTGAGGGTGTCCTCATCAGCGCCCCGTTGCATCTGAGGCATAGTCGTAAACAGTCTATGTCTGACGACAGGTCGACCAATTTGGTTGACAGCCAATCTACGAAGGTCCTGAACGTCAATTTGAAAAGAAAACCTTTGACATCTTCCATTTTCGCAGGCTGGGGTCTAGACCCTTTCCAAGAAGACGGAGGAAGCAAAAAGGACATCAAAAAGGCAGAGAACAACTACACCGCGATCTGGGTTCTCACCCCTGCTGGCAAAGACGTCAGGTAAGCGCTGCCTTCGTTGCGCCGGCCATGGTCGACGTTTCACGAATCTGCTTATCAAGATTCGGGGCCAGAATGGGCAGTATCTGTTGGTAAATCATGACCTATGGACTGTGCGGGCAGGTCCGTTTCTTAACTTGCAACCTTCTCATCGTTGTAAGGTTGATCCTGATCAGAACTCTTTGCTTACACGAAAGATGAACGTCGACACATCAGTTCGTTTCACGTAGCCCGTGGAGTTGTCACTCGTTCGCCGACGACAGGTGCGTCGTGCATTTTGTCTGCACCTGCCTGTTTCGAAGCGTACAATTGTTCATGAGGGTGAAGAGCAAGTGGAAGGACGAATCTACGAGACAGGACATCAAGGCTTTGCTTCCAACGTCTGAACCTGCTCTTCAATGAACGGATTCGAGGGTCTTGCAAGCTTGGCGCTATCCTTTGTGGCGCGATGGTTTGATTATTCGAGGCCCTTTGCGAGAGCACCCAGCTTCAAATTTGTTTTGTGCAGATTCGACGTTTTCAAAGAGTTTGACGTCGACCCGGACTCGTACGAGCTGACGTACCCAAAGAAGCCTCAAGTCCCCCTCCATACCAGGATCTTCAAAGGCGACGACCTTCGGCAAACCATGAAGCACCCTAATAAGAGTGTTGATAGCGATTGACTGCCCGATGTAACCAGTTGAGAGTTGGTGGTCGGAGGTGGGGCAAGCGTCAACTTGTTTGGCTAACCTTGTCGAAGTAGCGGGTCAGTCACCGACACAATTCCAACGATTCATTGGTCTTGGGCCCCTGAAGCAGATCAACATACAGTCCGCTCCCTTGATGGGAAAGTTTTTTAAAGGTATCGTAGATGCTACTCCAGATTGTGCATAAGAAGAATACCCGTTATTAATCGGAGTCAAAGTTTTGATTGAAGTTGCATAGACCTGTATCATAGATGCTACTTCAGATTGTGCATAAGAAGATCATACCCGTTATTATGAGGAGTCGAGGTTTTATTGAAGTTGCATATAGGTATCATATAGATGCTACTCCAGATTGTCATAAGAAGAATACCCGTTATCATTATAGAAGTCAAAGTTCTGATTGATCGGACCTGTGGCGCCATTGTCATGGCAAGCCTGGTCGATGATGTTGGTGTGCTTAGTCTCATGTGTAGAGGTATTCCGATCGAAACTCGCTGCACGCCGGCAATATCGGTTAAATACATGTGCATATTGGATCATATCAGAGGAAGGCGTACCCCAACGACCACATTCTGATCGTCAAAACCGGCGCCCCGGACAAGTTCCTCAACGAGTTTATAAGGGACGTCCAGAAACCCCTACTGGCGGCGGGCTTTGAACGCGACACCATCAACTCCCGAGTGCAGCACTGGCGCCTCTTCACCAAGCGCGGCCAGCCAAAGCGCACATGGGGAGCGTGCTTCGGCTCGCGTAAGGACCGCGATGCCGCCTGGGAGGAATACCTCCCCATCCGCCAGAACGTCATGGACAAAGGCCTCGTCATCGAGCACTGCATCCCAAACCCCAAGGGTGCAACCAAAACAACCGAGGAAACAACCACCGAGCACACGGAGAATGCTCTGCAGCACACCTGCGCCGCTGCGGAAGCCGCGGCAGCACTACTAGCATCTCCCGAGGACGCGGCCGAGCCAGGCGACTTGAAGGCCCGTGACCAAATCGACACCATTGTGGACCTGCTCTACAAACGCATCACCAAGGGCAAAAATGCTGAGGAGTAGAATCGTTGTAGTTGGTCATAAATAAAGGGCAAATTTAAGCCACTCGTCGTGTAACTGAAGAGGCCTGTAGCCAGTTTCGGGAGTTAGCTAATATGCCGTAGGAATCGAGTCGGACATTGAACGTATTTGCATGGTAGTGACGTGTCGCTTATGCATATGTTTATTGAAGGACTCTAGCTTTGATTTTCGTAGAGTCAGATTGAGTCCGGACATGACTTACAGCTGCATAGCAAGCTGTAGAGTCAACAAACTATCCCGGGTCTGCCGGAGACCGTGCTCCATGGCTCTAATGTGG